CCATCTGTCTTCTCTCTGCTCCCTCCCCGGTGTCCTGCAGGGAGCAGGCCGGGCCTTCCCGCCGCTCCTGTCTGTGATTAATAATTAGCTCCTTACAGCGGCCTCACCCCCAACGGGGGCACCGGGCCTCTCGCAGCTGGGGCTGGGCACAGGTGTCCCAGGATGGGGGCCTCCCCGCACCCCTGCCCGGCCCCGGGGCCGGACCTTGTGCAGCTCCCAGCCTTTAACGGGAGTCAGACCACACCGCACCCCAGCGGACCCTGTGCTGAGACTGAAAGAATAAAAATGTTTAAAAGCTGTCTGTGTTATCTCAACTCCCTAAGGTCCCCCACCCCCACCCCCACCCCCGTCAGTGATGGGAACAGGACCCTTAAAGTTGTCTCAGAAAACAGCCCCGAGCAGGGAGTAAAGGGAGCAATATTTGCTCCAACAAGATAAGAGAAACAGGATAACAGAGTAAACTTTGCTTTGACAGTTCAGTGAAATAGGGTGCGAGATTACCAGACAGGACTGTTGACTTAGCGCAAGCCCTGTCATAGAATACGTTATTAACGAGCCCAGCACCCCTTTTAGAATTCCTTTGTTCCCCTCTTCCCCCTCCGTGTGTAACCCCTCCCGATATGTGATCTTCGCCTATATATACTTGTAAGATTTTCTGCTCGGGGCTCGACTCCTCTGCTCCTGCGTGAGTTACGAGTTGAGCCCCAGCGCGCTGGAATAAAGCCTCTTGCTGTTTGCATCAAGTGACTGCGGGGTCGCCGTCTGTCCGTGGGACAGAGTGAGGGTCTCCCTCTGGGGGTCTTTCAAGACCAGGGAGGCACCCACAGCCCGCCGCCCGCCTGAGCTCTCCCTGCCCCTATGAGGCCCGTATCCCACCCACCCCCCGCCCACGGGGGCCGAGGGTCTCCCTCCTCCCGGAGCCGCCACAGAGTTCACCCAGCGGGAGCCGGCCTTTCCCCCCACCCCCAGCGCCCGCCGCTGAGCCCACCGGCAGGAGAGGCAGCCCGGATGCTGCCCCCGGGCGGGGCGGCCAGTGGTGGGAGGGGCCTCGAGTCCACACCTGCTCCTCCAGGTCACCTGACCCCGTCCCCAGGCCCCCGGGACTGCCCGCCCCCAGAGCTTCACCTGGGACGGAGGAGGCCGGGCCCAGTACAGGGACAGCATCCTGGCAGGGCCCGGCGGCCTGGGAGCCCACGGGGCCAGACCCACCCCCACACGGCCTTTGGGGCCCCCTGGTGTGGTGCCCTCGGCTCCTGGGTGTGCCCGAAGCCCAGGCCCGGTGCTGTGAGGAGTATTTTCGGCCGCCCCGCCGCACGGACTGCACCTGCGGGGCCTGGGCGTCCCCACGAGGCAGGCGCGGCCTCTGACCTCCGGGAGCTGAGTCTGAGGGGCAGGAGCAGGCCAGGCCGGACGGTCCTGCGTGTCCTGGAGGGCAGAGCCGCCTGGCCTGGCCCAGGGCAGGGGCTGCTGAGGGCGCAGGCCCCAGCTCAGGCGGGTTCTGGTCCCATGTTTCAGACTCTCCCACCGTGTGGCCTGGAGCAGCCACGCATCCGGTGACCTCTCTGCTGAATTCTGTGGTTCAGGCTCCTTCCCTGGCCTCCGCCTTCCCGGCCGCCCATGGGCAGACGCTCCGGGGCCAGCGGTGACGGTCGGGGTCGTGTGTGCCACGAGGGATCAGTGTTGTCAGACAGCAGCGCACGCTCCACGTGTTCGGGCCTCTTTGGGCCTGGATGCTTCTTCCAGGCAGGCCTCCTGGATGCGCCGCAGCCGGACACTCCTCCAGGTGGAGGGCCGGGGGGAGGACGGGGGGCATTCCTGGCGGCCTACGCGGGCGGCTGGTGCGGTGTCCTCCTGCCCCGCCCGGATGTGTAGGCTGCCTGAGGGGGAGGACGCCGGCCTGGACAGACAGCGGTCACCATAACCAGGCCAGGGCCTCTGGGGCAGAGGGGAAGTAGGTCAGAGGCCGAGGCGGGGATGTCTGGCAGGTGCGGCTGGCGCCTGGCCTGATGGTGGCCAGGGCCCTGGGCAGGCGGGGCCCGTGGGTCTGGCATGGGTGACCCAGGGGGTGTTGGGTGGCAACGCCGTGCACTCAGGCAGCCCTCAGGGCCCAGGCGGCCGGTGTGCGCGGTAACCTGGCCAGGCGGTGGGTGTTGCCTGTGGGCCAGGATGTCAGGCTGCAATCAGCTGCCCAGACGTGGGCGGCAGCCCAGGCTGCAGACTGGACAGGGACAGGTGGCAGCGGGCAGGTGGCAGGCCTGATGGACGGCGGTTCCCGGCTGCGGGCTGAGCCCAGGCTCTCTGGCCCGGCTGGCAGCCAGGCCACCGCCACTGTGTGTAGGGCATCGGCACAGTCTGAAGCCCCACATGTGGCAGAGGGCGGGTGGGGAGCCCCACGAGGTGACGCCCACACTGTGGGCTGCCGGGCACTCGGTGGCATGAAGGGAGGGGAGGTGGGTGAGGAGGCTGAGTGGGCTTTTGGACAGGCATGCGGAAGGGCACTGTGCCAGGCCCAGCGTGGGAGGTGTGCATGCCAGCAGAGGTGGGCGAGGGGGTGGGGACGCTGTCAGGGGAACTGGGTGGCTGGGGCCTTCGCAGCGGCTCCTGGCATGCACAGCCCGGGCAGCGCCCCGGGCAAAGCTGCCTCTTCCCTCCCACGGCCCGGAGCTGTGAGGCCCGGCCTGACCGGGGCCCAGCCTCTCCCGTCAGCTCAGCTGCAGGAACTGGGTCTCCCAAATGCCCGGCTCCGTTCCTGACCTTCTCCCCGGGGTCTGGTCTCGCATTGGCCAGGCCCCTCCCAACTGAGCCCTGAATGACCCCTGCCCCCCAGGGTGGGCGGCCACCGTGCCAGTTTGCTGTGGTTGCAGAATGCCATAGCCTCAGTGGATAGAGCGTCGGCCTGTGGACTAAAAGGTCCCGGGTTCAATTCCGGTCAAGGACATGCACCTTGGATGTGGGCACATCCCCAGTAGGGGGTGTGCAAGAGGCAGCTGATCGAAGTCTCTCTCTCTCATTGATGTTTCTAACTCTATCTTTCTCTCTTCCTCTCTGTAAAAAGATCAATAAAATATATTTTAAAAAAAAATGCCACAGTCGGTGGCTCCTGCTCCGAAATGGTTTCCTCCCGGTTCCAGCTCCCAGGTGCCGCAGGCTGGGTCTCCGTGGGGGCCTGTCTCCGCCCGGCTCCCGGCTCGCTTTGTGCAGGAGCGCCCGGCCCTGCACCCGGCTTCCTCCTGCGAGGCCCAGGCCATCGGATTGGGACCTGCCCGACCACCTCCCTCTGTTGTAACCGCCTTCCTGGAGTCTCCATGCACAGTCACCTTCTGAGGGCCGGGGGTCAGGGCTCAACAGATGGGTTTTAGGGGGAGAGCTCAGCCCATAACAGCCACGGAGAGGCCCGGACCTCTGTGCTCGGAGTGAGGACGGTGAGGGTCCCGCCTCGGGCCTCCCGGGCCCGGGTGTCCTCTCTCTGGGCCCCGACTCGGACCCCAGGACGTCCGGGGCCGATGGGCGGCGTCCAAGGGCCCCAGCAGGGCAGGGAGCCCAGCCAGGGCGGCCGCAGAGGCTGGGCAGGGAGGCGGGCGTCCGGGCCCCTGCCCATCGCCCTGGCCTGCCATCCTCCTGCCCACGCCGTCCGGCTTCCGGAGAAGTCACACCCACGTTCCCGGCGCAGAGCAGCGGCGTGGGAGGGGGAGGCGGAGGCGGCGGGGAACGGGCACGCCTGGCCCGCGGAGGGGCGGGGCAGCACATCACCCTCTGCCCTATGGCCGCCCGGCCGGCTCCGCGCGCCCAGCACCCGGCGGAGCTGGGCTGGGCTCCCGGGAGCGTGAATCATGGGTGCTGGCAGCGTAGGAGCCGGGCATGTGCCGACGTGGTGCCAGGCACCGGCGGCCAGGATGTGGGCTCGCCCTCTGCCGGGCCGGCTCCTGTGGGAGGCCCTGGGGGACGCCCGGCCAAGAGCCGACCGGAGGCAGGTGGCTGGGGCCTGGGAGCCAGACCTCGGCCATTTCTGGGCCCTGTGCCTTTAAGACACGTCGCCTTCTCCCGGCACAGCATTCATTGATAAATCTGGGGCAGGTGCCCGGGCGGCTGTGCCCGGGCTGTGTCAGGCCTTCCTGGAGCCGAGGAGGGGACCTGCTCCGAGGCAGGTCTCCCCGGGGTGTGGGGCGGCCATGGCTTCCTTGCCGGTCAGGGAAGACCGCCCCCCCCAAGGGAAGGTTGAATCTGGGCTCAGACAGCAGCTCCCTCTCCTTACCCGTCCCCCCAGGGCCCAGGAGCCGCCTCCTCCTCCGCCAGCCTTCCTGCCTGCAGCCTGCAGCCCCCTGGCCTGTGGCTCCCGGGCGCCCACCCGCCAGCACCCCCTGGCAGGCTGGCGGTGAGCCCCGGCCGGGCCCGGGACCAGCTGCTCCTGCAGCCCGGCCTCCGCAGGGCTCCCCGCAGCCTGGGCGCGCACACGGGGCCCCGGGCCCAGAGGGGGGCCCAGGGTGGGCCTGCAGGCAGGGGAGGGTGGCCCCTTGCACCGGGTCTCCCCCGGGGCCGCACCTCCCGGCTTATTTCCCGGGACGGCCCGGAGGGGAGGGGATCCCAGAAGGTGCCCAGTCACGTGCCCGGGGGTGGCGGCCCGGACGGCGTGGGTCCCGCCCCCCTCCCAGGGCCGCCCCCGCGGCGCCCCGGGTGAACGTCTGCGCCAGGGACCGTGTGTCCCGGCCCCGCCAGGAGGCGCTGCTGAGCCCGGCGGCGCTGCGGGCGGGACCTGCCTCCGGCCTCCGGCCACCCGCCCCGCGGGCCCGCTCCGGCTCCGCTCCCGGCCCGGCTCGGCGCCCGCAGACCCCGCGCTCCCGGCGCCCCGGGCCCCGCCCGGCCCCCCCCCGCCCCGCCCCCGGCCGCGCTGCGTGCGGAGACGGAGCCGGCGACGGGGTGACGCAACGCCCCGCCCCGCCCCGCGCGCCGCTCCGGGGCCGCTAACGGTCCCGCGCCCCCCGCGCCCCCCATCCCGTCCCGTCCCCCGCCCCGTCCGGTCCCCCGCACCCCAGGCCGGGCGGCGCCGGGCGCGATGGGGGCGGCCGAGCCGCTGCGCTCGGTGCTGTGGGTGCGGCGGCAGCGCTGCGCCGTCAGCCTGGAGCCCGCGCGGGCGCTGCTGCGCTGGGGGCCCAGCCCGGGGCCCGGGGCCGGCGCGCCCGGGGCGGGTGAGTGGCCGGGTCCGAGGGGGAGGCCGCGGGGCGGGGGGTCCGCGGGGCGGGATGGGGGTGCGGGGCGGGGGTGCGGGGGCCCGGGGGTGCGGGAGGTCCGCGGGGCGGGGGGGTCCGCGGGGCGGGTGAGTGGCCGGGTCCGAGGGGAGGCCGCGGGGCGGGATGGGGGTGCGGGGCGGGGGGCCGCGGGCGGGGGGTCGGCGGGGCGGGATGGGGGTGCGGGGGTCCGCGGGGGCGGGATGGGGGTGCCGGGCGGGGGCCGCGGGGCGGGGGGTCTGCGGGGCGGGGGGTCCGCGGGGCGGGGGGTCCGCGGGGCGGGATGGGGGTGCGGGGGTCCGCGGGGCGGGATGGGGGTGCCGGGCGGGGGGCCGCGGGGCGGGGGGTCTGCGGGGCGGGGGGTCCGCGGGGCGGGGGGTCCGCGGGGCGGGATGGGGGTGCAGGGGCCCGGGGGTGCGGGGGTCCGCGGGGCGGGATGGGGGTGCGGGGCGTGGGGCCGCGGGGCGGGGGGTCTGCGGGGCGGGGAGCAGTCCCTCCGGACAGGGTCCACGGGAGCGGGGGCGCCCGCGGGATGCAGTCCCGGGGGGCGAGGAGGGGTCGTGACCCGGAGGTGCTGGGTCGGGGTCCCCACCCCTGGACCTGAGGGGCACTGCGGGAACGGGAGTGGGGAGAGTGAGGAGGGTCCCCAGGGCGCCCGCAGCCCCAGGCGGGCTCCTGGAACCCGGACAGAGGCGCCTCCTAAAGGGACCCCAACCCTGGGGGGCCTGGGCGGGAGGGGCTTTTCGGAGAAAAGCAAAGGGGGCGTAGGGCTGCTGCCGGTGGCCGGCGTGGGGGCGTCACGGGGTCCGGCACAGGCCTCCCTGCCCGGCTGTAGCTTAGACAGAAGGGAGGACGCGGTGGACAAGGACAAGCTGGGCCCTGGGTGTCATTGGATCCCGGAGGCGGGGCTGCAGACCAGGTGTGCAGGGGGGCAGGACGGCGGGCGCAGGTGAGGGCAGTGCGAGCGTGCCCGCTCCGTACACTCCTCTGCCCCAGCTGCTGGGGAGGCCCGGGGCCCGGGCAGTGCCCAGCTCAGGTCCTGTGACCGAGTCCCAGCCCACGGGTCCACTGGGGGGACCGAAGAGGGGGCGCACGGGTGCGTGTGTGTGTGTGTGTGTGTGTGTGTGTGTGTGAGCCCCGCAGGGGGCAGGGCACGTGGAAGGGGTCCCAGCAGCCCTCCCCTCCCTCTGGCATTGACAGACCTGGAGGGACAGCTTTGGGGAGACGGTCCAGCCGGAGGAGCAGCGAGCGCAAAGGCCCCACAGAGGCAGCCGGGAGGCCAGCATGGACGTGCTGGGAGGTGGGGGAAGGTGGGGGGCACCGGCCTGGTACTGGCAGGGCTGAGGGCGACTTGGTGAGTGCCATGGCGGCTTCCCCGGCCTCACATTCCTCAAGGCCCCTGTGGCCCCACCGGGAGTGGACAGAGCAGGCACCGCGCGGCTGGCCTGGGCCGGCCGGAGCGTGGTGAGCAGGGCTGGGTCTCGGGGCCGTGGGGGCGCTGTGGCCGGTGCTGCGGGCGTTTCTGACGCGGAGGCTGTAGGTCTGCAGGCAGGGGGCCGAGTTGGAATGTATGTCCGACCAAGGTCAAGGGTGGCCTCAGGCCCGTGACCACCGTTTGGTTTCTGGCCTTGGCGTCCCCAGAAGCCTGCGGCAGGGTGTCCGGTGCCCCTCGGAGTGATGTCACGCCGGGAATCGCCCTCCACCCTCACGAGGGCCCTGCGTCTGACTCCCTCTGTAACGCCCGGCCCGCTCCCGAGGCTCTGGGCTTGAGGGGACCCGCCTGCCTCGTCCTGTTGGAGGTCCCCACTGTGCCCGCCCTGCCTGAGGCCAGCCTCCGTGTGGGACGCTCCCTGCCTGCCTGCCTGCCTGCCTGCCGCGTTGGCGTCCCCGCAGCCTGCTATTATGGCTCCGGCCGCAGCGTCCCCTCTCGGTCCGCGGCATCTGCAGGCTGCCCACGCCCTCCCCAGCGGGCACATCCGCCCGGAGGGACCTGCTGCCCCCCACAGGCACTGTGGTGCGGGTGCATCCGAGCTTCCTGCCGGGACCCCCTCCCCGGCGCTGGGCCTCTGACTTCCTCCCGGGACGGCCTGTGCATCCGCTCTGCTCGGCACCGTGATGGGGCGCACAGCTGCGCCGGCCCTGGGGTTCCTCCTGGCGGCCCCCCCAGACCCACCGGGCCCCGCAGGAGGCAGGCACCCCGGACACTGGGCTCAGTGGGCAGAGGGCAGTGCCCAGCTGACGGACGGGGCCTGGAGGGGACGTGGGCTGGAGGCTGTGGGAGGCCCGGAGGCCAGGCTGGGGCCGCCCTGGGGCTCGGGGCACAGGCGGGGGAGTGGATTGAGCCCCCCTCCTGTGCTCAGAGGAGAGAGTGGAAGCCGGCTGATGGCCCGCGGGCCAGGGCGGGCGGAGGAGCCGGCTCTGGATCCAGGCTCTCGGCCGCCGCGCTGCGGGAGTCCAGGAGCAAAAGGAAGTGGGGGCCGGCCCTCCTGCGCCCCGAGAGGCTGCTCCGAGGAGCGGGGAGCCAGGGTGTGCTCCCTGGCGGAAGCGGGGTGGTGGCAAACAGGAAGCCTGGCAGAGTGGTTGAACTTGAAAGAGACTGACACTGTGCCTGGATTACACCCCTGGCGGCAGTGACCACACTCAGACTCCGAGGGGGGTCTTTCTGGATTGGGGCTGAGAGCCGTGTGTGTGTGTGTGTGTGTGTGTGTGTGTATGGGGGGGGCAGCGGGAGGGGAGGGTGGGAATGGGCTCTGCCCTGGCTCCCCCTGGGACGCCCCAGCCGGTGGCCAGCTCCTCGGGCAGGTTGTGGCTGTGTTTATAAGGTGTGCCCCCAATCGTGGGCAGCCACACGTGGGCAGCCACGGCAGGGACAGGCGCCGGGCTGTTGGTGACCCGGTGTCCTCCCTGCACTCTCTTCAGCTCTGGCCTCGGTTCTCCTCAGGTCACATGACTGAGCAGCAGGGGGAGAGGAGGGAGGGAACGCCATTGTCCTGAGATTATTCCAAGGTGAACGGCTGTTTGTTATTCTGAAATAGGTCAGCAGCTTTTTCTTAAAGGGCCAGACGCAAATAGTCCAGGCTCTGTGGGTCAGTGCCTCCGCTCTGCTGTCAGCAGGAAAAGCGGCTGCAGGCAGTGGGCACATAAGGCGTGTGGCTGTGTGCCAATAAAACTTTATTGACAAGAGCAGGCACTGGCTGACCCTCCGTAAATCGTCGTTGCCACGAAGGAATGACTGCGCTGTAGAAGCCGAGGACGCACGGCTAAAACACCCCGACCTTAAAGAGCCGTCCGTCCGCAGGCCGGGGGCGCACGCACTGGGCCGGGAGAGCAGCCCGCCCGCGGCTCCGTGGCTGAGCACTGAGCTGTGAGCCAGGAGGTCCGGGTTCCGTTCCCGGTCGGCACAGGCCCCGATTGTGGTGCCCTCCCCAGCGGGGGCGTGCAGGAGCAGCCGGTCGTGATTCTCTCTCTTCACTGATGTTTCTCTCTCTCCTCCCTGAAACCGATAACAACAACAATAATAAAAAGGACTGGGAAGCAGAGGGTCCGCCTTGTGGAGGCGGCCTCCGTGGTCACCTGGCCGGCGAGGGGGTGACGGGGCCCGGTGTCGTTGCAGGCGCCTGCTCGGTGCCCGTGGCGGAGATCGTCGCCGTGGAGGAGACCGACAGCCACGGGAGGCCCTATGGCAGCGGCAAGTGGCAGAAGATGGAGCCGCCCTTCGCGTTCACAGGTACGGAGCCGCTGTTCTCCACGGCGCCCGCCTGGCGCCTGCCCACAGCACTTGTCCCGGTGCCCGTCCACAGTGCCCACCCACAGTGCCCGCCCCGGTGCCTGTCCACAGTGCCCGCCCTGGTGTCCGCCCCGGTGCCCGTCCACAGTGCCCGTCCACAGTGCCCGTCCACAGTGCCCACCCACAGTGCCCGTCCACAGTGCCCACCCACAGTGCCCGTCCACAGTGCCCGCCCTGGTGTCTGCCCCTGTGCCCGTCCACAGTGCCCGCCCCGGCGCCCCGCACCCCGCAGGCGGCCGGAAAGGGGCCTTTGTCACCGTCACCCAGCACAGTGCTGCCTCGTGCCTCTGCCACGGCCTCCCCGAGCCCTCCCCGCGCGGCTTTGGTGCGGGCATCTTCTCTCTCCATCGCTGTCCCCGGTCACGGGTCAGAGAACGGGAGGAGGGTTTCCCTCTCGGCCGTGGGAGTCCCCGAGGCTGTGGGACGAGCTGCGTGGCCGCGGGGACGAGCTCCGTGGCTGTGGGACAGGCTTAGTGGCCTGTGGGATGGGCTCCGTGGCCTGTGGGACGGGCTCCGTGGCCTGTGGGACGGGCTCCGTGGCCTGTGGGACGGGCTCCGTGGCCTGTGGGACGGGATTCGTGGCCGTGGGACGGGCTCAGTGGCCTGTGGGACGGGCTCCGTGGCCTGCGGGACGGGCTCCGTGGCTGCGGGACGGGCTCCGTGGCTGCGGGACGGGCTCCGTGGCTGTGGGACGGACTCCGTGGCTGCGGGGCCGGGCGGGCGGGCGGCCGCGGGAACAGGCTCTGTCCCCGCAGTGCACTGCGTGAAGCGGGCGCGGCGCCGGCGCTGGAGGTGCGAGCCGGTGACGTTCTGCGTTGGGGACGAGCAGCTGTGCCATCTGTGGCTGCAGGCCCTGCGGGAGCAGCTGGACAGGCTGAGTACGTGTTGTTGCTTCCATTCATCTCCACTGGAGGGCGTGCGTTCCCGACTCTCAGAGCGAGCGGGGAGGGAGTGAGGGGCGGAGAGACAGGGACTGGCTGCCTCCTGCGTGCACCTCGGCCAGGGCCTGTGCCCTCGACCAGAATCGAACCTGGGACTGCAGGCCGACGCTCTATCCACTGAGCCACACTGCCAGGGCTTCTCTCCTCGTGGTGGTGAGCGGTCTTCATTCTGACCTGGTGCATTGATCTTTCCTCAGCCGTGCTGGGCTGTGTCCTGTGAGGGCGCCTTTGTTTGCCCCGGCCCAGGAGCCAACTTCCCGGTGGTGCCAGGCTCCTGGGCTTCAGGCGTAGACATCGGCCTGCCCACGCCCACGCCCCTGCCCACGCCCACGCCCCTGCCCACGCCCACGCCCCCTGCCCACGCCCACGCCCCTGCCCACGCCCACGCCCCTGCCCACGCGGTGTTTTGCAGCCTGTAGACCGAAGCGCCTGCTCGTGTTCATCAACCCGTTCGGCGGGAAGGGCCGGGGCCTGCGCATCTACGAGCGGAAGGTGGCGCCGCTGTTCGCGCTGGCCGCCATCGCCACCGAGGTCGTGGGTGAGGCGCCGGGCGGGCGGGCGGGCGGGACACGCGGAGTGGGCTCGGGACTGTGGCCGTGGACGTCTAAAAGTTGACGTCAGAGGTAGGGAGAGGGCGAGAGAGAGACGTCCGGACGAGGGAATCGAGGCCCGCTGCCCCTCCGCCCTGACGCCGCCTTTGCCCGCAGTCACGGAGTGCGCCAACCACGCCAGGGAGGCCCTGCACGAGATGAGCCTGGACAGCTACGACGGGTGAGCGCGCCGCCCGCGGCCCCCTCCCGACGGACAGGCCCTCAGGGCCCGTCTGGGCCGAGGGACCGCGGCCCGAGTGTGCCTCCTGTGGTCTTCCTGCCGACACAGGCTGGCGAACACGTGGCGGGCGTGACCACACTGCCTACCTGGTGTGCATATGTTACAGGCGTGACCACACTGCCTACCTGGTGTGCATGTGTTACAGGCGTGACCACGCTGCCTACATGGTGTGCATGTGTTACAGGCGTGACCACACTGCCTACATGGTGTGCATGTGTTACAGGCGTGACCACACTGCCTACATGGTGTGCATGTGCTACAGGCGTGACCACGCTGCCTACCTGGTGTGCATGTGCTACAGGCGTGACCACGCTGCCTACCTGGTGTGCATGTGCTACAGGCGTGACCACACTGCCTACATGGTGTGCATGTGCTACAGGCGTGACCACACTGCCTACCTGGTGTGCATGTGTTACAGGCGTGACCACACTGCCTACCTGGTGTGCATGTGCTACAGGCGTGACCACACTGCCTACATGGTGTGCATGTGCTACAGGCGTGACCACACTGCCTACCTGGTGTGCATATGTTACAGGCGTGACCACACTGCCTACCTGGTGTGCATGTGCTACAGGCGTGACCACGCTGCCTACATGGTGTGCATGTGTTACAGGCGTGACCACGCTGCCTACATGGTGTGCATGTGTTACAGGCGTGACCACACTGCCTACATGGTGTGCATGTGCTACAGGCGTGACCACACTGCCTACCTGGTGTGCATGTGCTACAGGCGTGACCACGCTGCCTACCTGGTGTGCATGTGTTACAGGCGTGACCACACTGTTTACATAGGCTTATGGGAGCGTGGCGGGCCGAGGATTGTCCCCAGGAGCCAGGCCTGTCCTGCTCAGGGACACGTGCCCCCCGCAGGGGCGCCAGGAGGAGGCTGGGGGGCGTGCGGGGCCTCATGAGCGGTGCTGCCCGCAGGGTGGTGTGCGTCGGCGGGGACGGCATGTTCAGCGAGGTGCTGCACGGGCTGGTCGGCAGGACGCAGCGGGCGGCCGGTGTGGACCAGAACGAGCCCCTGGCGGCGCTGGTGCCCTGCCCGCTGCGCATCGGCATCATTCCCGCAGGTAGGACGCGGCGCCCGCCCGCGCCCAGTGCCCGCGCCCACCCGGGACCACGGGAGCCGCAGCCGAGTCCGCGGCTGGGATGGGGGCTGGGAGGCCTCCCTGCGCCCCTGACGGAGAGACCTGTCGGGGGCGGGGTGGCCCCAGAGCATCTGCCTGCTCACCCTGCTGGCGCTGGCGGCGGCGGCGCTGAGCAGCGGCAGAGCCCCACGGGGTTTGTTGTGGGAAACGCCGCCCAGGGCTCTCCAGCTCCTCAGCTCGTCTCCTCAGATCCCTGCCCAGCCCGTCCCAAGCCTGAGTCAGCGGGCGTGGGGTCAGGCCTCGGGCATGAGATGGTGCTGGGGTTCCCTGCCCACGCAGCCCAGGTGACCTGGATTCTGACCCAGTTTCGGAGCAGGCCGGACCTGGGGGGATCGGGCTTCCCAGCATGCCCCGGGCCGGCTGGCTGGCGCTCTGAGGGCACCCACGTGCGGACCACGGCGGCCCCCGCGGGCTCAGCCAGGGCGCGCACGTCTGTGACCTCCAGCCGCGCGGTCTGCACGCCCCCGGGGAGGGGGGCCTGGGGGACAGGGCCCGGGAGGGGCCCAGGGAGGGGGCCCGGGGGAGGGGGCCGGGGAGGGGGCTGGGGAGGGGGCCCGGGAAGGGGGCCCGGGGGAGGGGGGCCGGGGGGCACCCGGGGAGGGGGTCTGGGGGAGGGGGGCCGGGGAGGGGCGGGGGGGGCCCCGGGGGAGGGGCTGGGGAGGGGGCCCGGGGGGGGCCCGGGGGAGAGGGGCCGGGGAGGGGCCGGGCAAGGGGGCCCGGGGGAGGGGGGGTCTGGGGGAGGGGGGCCGGGGAGGGGCCGGGGGGGAGCCCCGGGGGAGGGGGGTCTGGGGGAGGGGGGCCCAGGGGAGAGGGCCTGGGGGAGGGGGCCCGGGGGAGGGGGCCAGGGGGAGGGGGGCTGGGGAGGGGCCGGGGGGGAGCCCCGGGGGAGAGGGCCCGGGAGGGGCCCCGGCGAGGGGGCCCGGGGGGCAGGCGCGGACGGCCCCACCGCGGCCCCGCAGGCGTTTCTCGGGGCTGCCCCCCCACCGAGGAGCTTGTGGGCGGAATTGCCGAGCAGCTCGGCCTCTTTGAGGGGTTCCCTTTGTAGATAAACCACGTTTATTCCTTTCTCACTCGGCCCGGAGGGAAAGGAGGAGCCGCGCACTTTCCGGACGCTTAGTTTTCACAATCACCGCAGTGTTACGGCCTCTTCCTCCTCAGGGTCCACAGACTGTGTGTGTTACTCCACCATCGGCATCAACGACCCGAAGACCTCCGCCCTGCACATCATCGTGGGTGAGCCCGGGGGTGGGTCCCCCCTCATCGTGGGTGAGCCCGGGGGAGGGTCCCCCTCATCCTGGGTGAGCCGGGGAGTGGGTCCACCATCATCGTGGGTGAGCCCGGGGGTGGGTCCCCCCTCATCGTGGGTGAGCCCGGGGGAGGGTCCCCCCTCACCGTGGGTGAGCCCGGGGGAGGGTCCCCCCCATCGTGGGTGAGCCCGGGGGTGGGTCCCCCCTCATCGTGGGTGAGCCCGGGGAGGGTCCCCCCTCATCGTGGGTGAGCCCGGGGGTGGGTCCCCCCTCATCGTGGGTGAGCCCGGGGGAGGGTCCCCCCTCACCGTGGGTGAGCCCGGGGGAGGGTCCCCCCTCACCGTGGGTGAGCCCGGGGGTGGGTCCCCCCTCACCGTGGGTGAGCCCGGGGGAGGGTCCCCCCTCATCGTGGGTGAGCCCGGGGGAGGGTCCCCCCTCACTGTGGGTGAGCCCGGGGGAGGGTCCCCCATCATCGTGGGTGAGCCCGGGGGTGGGTCCCCCCTCACCGTGGGTGAGCCCGGGGGTGGGTCCCCCCTCATCGTGGGTGAGCCCGGGGGTGGGTCCCCCCTCATCGTGGGTGAGCCCGGGGGAGGGTCCCCCCTCACCGTGGGTGAGCCCGGGGGAGGGTCCCCCCTCACCGTGGGTGAGCCCGGGGGTGGGTCCCCCCTCATCGTGGGTGAGCCCGGGGGAGGGTCCCCCCTCATCGTGGGTGAGCCCGGGGGTGGGTCCCCCCTCACTGTGGGTGAGCCCGGGGGAGGGTCCCCCATCATCGTGGGTGAGCCGGGGAGTGGGCCCACCCATCACCCATCATCCTGGGTGAGCCCCGGGGTGGGCCGCCCATCACCCCTCACCGTGGGTGAGCCCGGGGGTGGGTCCCCCCTCACCGTGGGTGAGCCCAGGGTGGGTCCCCCCCTCATCGTGGGTGAGCCCAGGGTGGGTCCCCCCTCATCGTGGGTGAGCCCAGGGTGGGTCCCCCCTCATCGTGGGTGAGCCCAGGGTGGGTCCCCCCTCATCGTGGGTGAGCCCTGGGATGGGTCCCACTCATCTCCCCTCCCCGCCTCGGGTTCTGCACACGCAGACCCTGCGTGGACCCTTCCAGAGCCTGGGGGCGTTACCCGGGCCCTGGCCGGGCTGCCCCCCTGTCCCAGGCTCGGGGACCCTGCCCTCGGCTCTGCCTGCACCCAGGGCCCCTCGTCACGGGCGGGGCGGCTGCTCAGGAAGGGCCCTGCCGCCGCCGTGTCCTGCCTGCAGCTCCCTCCGGGTCAGGGGCTGAGGCCGGACAGGCTGCGCCCACTCGGGCGGTGACTGCGTTTCCTAAGACGGGCCTCTTCCCGGAGCCCCGTCCGCGGGTCCTCGCTGGTCCCCAGGCTGCGGCCCCTGCGTCCGGCCTGTCTGTCTCCGGGTGCTGCGCGTGGGGGCGGGGGCGGGGGCGGGGGCTGACGGAGGCGCCCGCCGCCTCTCCTGCAGGGGACTCGCTGGCCATGGACGTGTCCGCGGTGCACCACCATGGGGCGCTGCTGCGCTACTCCGTGTCGCTGCTGGGCTACGGCTTCTACGGCGACATCGTCAAGGACAGCGAGAAGCAGCGCTGGATGGGGCTCATCCGATACGACTTCTCAGGTGACAGCGCCCGGGAGGCGGGCGCCCCGGACACAGACCCCGCAGGCTCCTGGGCGCGCTGGGACCGCCTCCCCTCACCCGGCCACGGAGCGGGGGCCGCGGAGCCGGGTCACCCCAGGCCTCACGGGGGACGGTGTGCGTGGCTGGGGCACCGCTGTCCACACCTCCGGACGCGGTCGGTCCTGCCGTGCGCTCGGGGTGGCGCGTGGGGCCAGCCAGCTCGGGCGCTGTGCCCGCCTCGGCGTGCTGCCGGCACACTTTGCCAGAGCGGCTCTGGGTGGCGCTGTCGCCCTGGTCTTCGTCCCGAGTGCTGACAAGGCGCCATAGTCGCCGGATGAGCTGGGAGCCAGGGCACCACGGACAGCCGTGGAGGGGCGGAGGGCCCTGGGGCCTGCCCTGAACGTGGCTCAGCGCCAGACAGCCGGCTTCAGAGGCGCCACCACGAGCCTCGGTCGGAGCACGCGGCCCTGGTGGCAGGCGCGCAGCGTGGCAGCTGTCACACGGGTCCCGCGGGCCTGCACCCTGGCTGTGCTGCCCAGCGCGGCGGGCGGGCGGGCGGGCGGCCCTCGGTCCCGGTGCTGGCTGAGCCCGCCCTGTGCTGCCCCCGGAAGGCCCCAGGGGCCCGCTCCCCAGGCTCCGACGGCCGCTCCGTCGGGGGTGTCGGGGGGTGTCAGAGGTGTCGGGGTGACCTGGCTGCTTCCCCTCTCCGCCCGCCCCCCAGGCCTGAAGACCTTCCTGTCCCACCACTGCTACGAGGGCACCGTGTCCTTCCTCCCGGCGCAGCACACGGTGGGCTCGCCGCGGGACGGGAAGCCCTGCCGGGCGGGTGAGCTGCGGGCCGGGGGGGGGGGGGGGGGGGGGAGGGGGGGAGGGAGGGGGAGGGGAGGGAGGGGGAGGGAGAGGGGAGGGGGAGGAGGAGGGGGGAGGAGGAGGGAGGAGGGGGAGGGGGAGGGGGGAGGGAGGGGGAGGGAGAGGGGGGAGGGGGGAGGAGGAGGGGGGAGGGGGAGGGGGGCCCTGCGGATGGCACTGCCTGGGGAGGGCCAGGCGCCATTGTGGGCGCCACCTGGGGGAAGTGTCAGGCACCCTGTGGACGCTGCGGGCGGGGGGGGGGGGGGGGGACAGGCGCCGTGTGGACGCTGCGGGGGGGGGGGGGACAGGCGCCGTGTGGGTGCTGCGGGGGGGGGGGACAGGCGCCGTGTGGACGCTGCGGGGGGGGGGGGGACAGGCGCCGTGTGGACGCTGCGGGGAGGGGGGACAGGCGCCGTGTGGACGCTGCGGGGGGGGGGGACAGGCGCCGTGTGGACGCTGCGGGGGGGGGGGACAGGCGCCGTGTGGACGCTGCGGGGGGGGGGGGGGACAGGCGCCGTGTGGGTGCTGCGGGGGGGGGGGGGACAGGCGCCATGGGGCGCAGAGGCTGCCGCTGGGCGGGCGGACGGCGAGCGGCCCCTCCCATTCCAGGTGCTTCGTCTGCCGGCAGAGCAAGCAGCAGCTGGAGGAGGAGCAGAAGCGGTCGCTGTACGGCCTGGAGGGCTCGGGTACGCCGGCAGCTCCGTCCCCCTCCGTCCCCTCCGTCCCCTCCGTCCCCTCTGTCCCCCTCCGTCCCCCTCCGTCCCCCTCCGTCCGCTCCGTCCCCTCCATCGCTCTCCGTCCTCTCCGTCCCCGTCCCCTGTGCCCGCGCTGTCCCCGCCTGTCCCCGCGCTGTCCCCGCGCTGTCCCCGCGCTGTCCCCGCCTGTCCCCGCGCTGTCCCCGCGCTGTCCCCGCCTGTCCCCGCGCTGTCCCCGCGCTGTCCCCGCCTGTCCCCGCGCTGTCCCCGCGCTGTCCCCGCGCTTTGTCCCCGCGCTTGTCCCCGCCTGTCCCCGCCTGAACCCCGCGCTGTCCCCGCGCTGTCCCCGCGCTTGTCCCCGCCTGTCCCCGCCCTGTCCCCCGCGCTGTCCCCGCGCTGTCCCCGCCTGTCCCCGCCTGTCCCCGCCCTGTCCCCGCGCTGTCCCCGCGCTGTCCCCGCGCTGTCCCCGCCTGTCCCCGCCCTGTCCCCGCCTGTCCCCGCCTGTCCCCGCGCTGTCCCCGCCTGTCCCCGCCTGTCCCCGCCTGTCCCCGCGCTGTCCCCGCGCTGTCCGCTCCGGCGGCTGTGTGGCCGCGGGCCAGGCCCGGGGAGAGGCTGGGAGCCGCCGTGGCACCGCGTGGCCGGCACCTGGTCCAGGCCCGGGAGGCCCGCGGTGGGTCCGAGGGCGTGGGCACGGCCTGGAAGGGGAGTGCCTCCTCCGTCGTGAGAGAGGGGGTCTCTCGGCGGCCCGCCCGGCCCCCGGGGTGGCAGGGAGTGTCCGGTGAGCGCACGGCCTCCGTGCGGTGTCCTGGTGTCCACGCCAGAGGGTGCGCGTGGCCCTGGGCGTGGCCGGCAGGCCCTGAGGGTGGCGCTGTCCGTGCCGCAGAGGACGTGGAGGAGTGGAAGGTCATCTGCGGCAAGTTCCTGGCCATCAACGCCGCCAACATGTCCTGCGCTTGTCCCCGGAGCCCCCGCGGCCTGTCCCCGGCCGCCCACCTGGGCGACGGGTCCACCGACCTGATCCTCATCCGCAAGTGCTCCCGCTTCAACTTCCTGCGCTTCCTCCTCCGGCACACCAACCAGCGCGACCAGGTGAGTGCGGGGCGCCGGGGCCTGCCCGGTGCCGGGCTGGCTCCACGGCCGCTGGGGCGTCCTACTGGGTGCCGGGCTGGCTCCGCGGCCGCTGGGGCGTCCTACTGGGTGCAGGGCTGGCCCTTTGGGCCGCTGGGCGGGCCTACTGGGTGCCGGGCTGGCTCCACGGCCGCTGGCGGGCCCTAGTCGGGGTCTGGGGGCAGTGTGAGCCGTTACTGTGGTGGGTGCGGTGGGCACGGCGGGTGCGGCAGGCGCGGCAGGCTCCGGGGCAGTGTGAGCCGTCACCGGGGCGGGCTCCGGGGGGCAGTGTGAGCCGTCACCGGGGCGGGCTCCGGGGCAGTGTGAGCCGTCACCGGGGCGGGCTCCGGGGCAGTGTGAGCCGTCACCGGGGCGGGCTCCGGGGCAGTGTGAGCCGTCACCGGGGTGGGCATGGCGGGCTCCGGGGCAGTGTGAGCCGACACGGGGCGGGCTCCGGGGCAGTGTGAGCGGTCAACGGGGCGGGCTCCGGGGCAGTGTGAGCCGTCACCGGGGCGGGCTCCGGGGCAGTGTGAGCCGTCACCGGGGCGGGGCTCCGGGGGCAGTGTGAGCCGTCACCGGGGCGGGCTCCGGGGCAGTGTGAGCCGTCACCGGGGCGGGCTCCGGGGCAGTGTGAGCGGTCACCGGGGCGGGCTCCGGGGCAGTGTGAGCCGTCACCGGGGCGGGCTCCGGGGCAGTGTGAGCCGTCACCGGGGCGGGCTCCGGGGGGCAGTGTGAGCCGTCACCGGGGCGGGCTACGGGGGGCAGTGTGAGCCGTCACCGGGGCAGGCGCGGCGGGCTCCGGGGCAGTGTGAGCCGGGAGCCTGGGAAGGCGGGTCCCGGCCTCCTGCCCGCTCAGACCGCCCCGCACGGGCAGCGCGGCCGGCCGCGTCCTTGTGGGGAGCACGGGGAGGGCAGGAGCACTTGGGCCAGGGCGTCCCCGCGGCTCAGGCGCCCCGCCCTCTCCTGCCAGTTCGACTTCACCTTCGTGGAGGTTTACCGCGTCAAGAGGTTCCAGTTCGTGTCGAAGCAGGTGGAGGACGAGGACGGCGAGCTGGGCGAGCGGGGCAAGCAGGGGCTGGGCCAGATCTGCAGCCAGCACCCCTCCTGCTGCTGCAGCGCAGCCAGCAGCTCCTGGAACTGCGACGGGGAGGTGCTGAGCGGGTCCGCCGTGGAGGTCAGGTGGGTGTGACATTCCCGTCCCCATCCCCGCCACCGTCCCCGCCACTGCCAACACCACCACCAACACCGCCACCGTCCCCGCCACCATCCCCACCACCGTCCCCGCCACCGCCAACGCCACCACCACCACCACCACCACCGTCCCCATCCCCGCCACCGTCCCCATCCCCGCCAACGCCACCACCACCACCACCACCACCGTCCCCATCCCCGCCACCATCCCCGCCACCGTCCCCACCACTGCCAACGCCACCACCAACACCGCCACCGTCCCCACCACTGCCAACGCCACCACCAACACCGCCACCGTCCCCACCACCATCCCCGCCACCGTCCCCGCCACCGTCCCTGCCACCGTCCCCACCACCATCCCCACCACCATCCCCACCACCATCCCCACCACCATCCCCACCACCGTCCCCACCACTGCAACGCCACCATCCCCACCACCGCCACCGTCCCCGTCCCTGCCACCATCCCCGCCACCATCCCCACCACCATCCCCGCCACCATCCCCGCCACCACCACCGTCTCCGTCCCCACCACCGTCCCCACCACCGTCCCCACCACCGTCCCCACCACCGTCCCCACCGCCACCACCACTGCCACCGCGGGGCAGGCGCCACGCCGCTGGGGCTCACGGCCCTGAGCTGGGCTTCCTGCCGCTCGGAGCCCCAGTGGGGAGCACGTGTGGCCAGGGCGCCTGGGCTCCCAGGTGGCACACGCCCTGTGGGTGCTGTGGTCTAACCTGGGACACGCCAGGTGTCCACCCCTGTCACAGAGATCCTTACTGGTCTCAGAGAGGAAGGGAGAGGGAGCGAGACAGAAACTCCACGGTGAGGGAGAACCACGGATCGGCTGCCTCCCGCACGCCCGCCCTGGGAAGGGAGTGACAGCCCAGGCGGGCGTGTGCCCCGGCCGGGAATCGAGCTGTGACCTCCTGGTTCAGAGGTCGATGCTCAGCCATGAGCCACGCGGCCGGGAGAAGCCCCTCGATGTTACGCTCGCTCTCCTGCACCTGCAGGCCCGCGCGGCCTGGGCCCGGCCCGGTGCTCTCGCTCCGTGAAGTGCTGGCTCCCGGCATCCACCGGCCCAGCCACTGAGCCGAGGAGAGCCGGGCAGTGGGGCCGTGTCTCCCGGTGGCGGCAGCTGCCTGCTTCCCCCGGGGCCCGGGCGGCCGGGGGACCGCTGTCCGCGGGGAGGGTGTCAGCGGCCTGTCTCCGCAGGGTGCACTGCCAGCTGGTCCAGCTCTTCGCCCGTGGCATCGAGGAGCGCCCGTAGCGAGCCTCGGCCAGACCCCTCACCGCGCCGAGGGCCTGGCTGCCTGTGGGAATGGAGCGAACACGATGGACCCATTACATGGGCGCTGCGTTCAAACTTAGGAGTTTATTTTTCTAGTTAAACCTCGGTTTTAGGAAAACACCTGTCAGCGGCTCTGGGACGCCCCGGGCACTTTCCGTTCCACGTGACTCCGCCCGCAGTCACCATGACGGCGCTGGCTCTCAGACCCGGTCTGTGCCTGCGGCGATTGAAGGACGGCCGTTTGCGGCTCTGGCAGTCGCTGTACAGACCAAGTCACAGGAGAGCCGGCCATCCTTGTCCCGGCTGGACAGGAGGTGCCTGCCCGTCACGCCGACCGATCGCCGTGGGCTCCCTGCCTCCCGGCCCTCACCGGAGCTCACCATCGGGCATTCCCGGTCCTTCCGGCTGTGCCCCCGGCACGGAGCCCGCTCAGCAGCGCCCGCGAGGGGACCAGGCTAGCGAGGGGCCTGCGGAGTCCTGGCTGTCTCCGCAGCCTCAGCCTGCGCCCGCCGTCCTCCGTCCCGGACAGTCAGCCGGCAGCCCTGGCTGCGCCGGGCGGCAGTGCGAGCTGTCTCGTTAGAAACGCCGATGCTTTGCGCCAGGAGGCGTCCTTGGAGGCGTCAGACCCGTGGGCGGTGAGGGTAACATTCCAGGCCGGCTGCCCTTCGCTGACCTCCCGTTCATCTCTGCGTGTTATCGCCGGCTTGGTCCTCTTAAGCGGGGCGTCATTCCGGGTCCCCGTGGTCGGTGCTTGAGTTGCTGCAGCCTCGGCCCCGGACGGGCCCCCGGGGCCCCCACACCCCGGCCCGGCTGTGCCTGTAGCCGCCTGTGGGGAGCCGGGCTGTGACGGAGCGCTGGCTGCGGCGGGAAGGCTGGGCGTCCGATGGCTGGCCGCTGCCCTGGGGCTCCGCGGGCCCGTGGCTCCGCGCGGGGCAGACGGCGTCCGAGTCCACGTGCCGGGCCGTGTAGACTGCATGTGACTCTCCCGCTCCATCCCCCCCCCGCCCCCCGCCCCCCGCCCCGCCCCCCCCCCCCGGCGAGCACGGCTGTAGCAGTGTTTCCTTTTTCCGAACAGACCGCGTGGGAGGGCGATCGGGTGGCTGCGGGTGGAGGAGGGTTGGGTATAAAGAGCTGACAGCACGCTGGCGTGTCCGTCCTGCCTGCTGTTCCCGGAAGAAGCCGGGGGGCTGGTGGCTCTGTGGGGGGCGGCGGCCGCACCGCAGGGCCTGGAGTCTACGGCGAAGCGTGAGGGCCCCCGGGACCCCCGTGGGCCGCCCGCCTCGCCGCCCCGGGCCTCCGCTGCTCTCATCTCCCACCCCCAGGCGGCCGGAGTGCACGCTCAGGGAGCCTTTTCCCACACGCCAGCCAGCGCCCCGCTTCCCAGGTGGCAGCTCCCGCCGCACACGGACACTCACGGGGACCTGGGAGCTCCTGACCCCGAGGCGCCCCCATCTCACAGGACGGAGAACCCCTCACCCGCCGGGCCTGCCTCCGTGAAGGCTCCGGAGAGAACCGCGGAGCTGCTGGCGGCCACGGGAGCTGCAGGGCTGCCTCCATGGCTCCGCCCCCGTGGCTCCGGTGTGGACCGGGGACTCATCAGCTGGCTCCTCACTCATCGCCGAACGCCCGCCCCCAGGCCTGCTGCTGGGAGGGGGCCCAGCGTCCGCTCTGGTCTTGCTGGTTTCAAGGTTAGGACGTGGCCGCACTCTGACGGGTCTGAGACGACGTAATAAAGTGAACTTTGGCAGAAGGCGCTGTTCTGGGATCCACAGCGAAGGCACGCGGAGGGCCTGGTTTTCACTGAGGTCACGTTCGTGTCCCTGTCTGTCCTCCCGGACGGCCCCTCTGAGCTGCAGCCAGGCCTGGCCCCGGGGCGCCCACAGGCCTGGCCCCGGGGCGCCCACAGGCCTGGCCCCGGGGCACCCACAGGCCTGGCCCCGGGAACAAAGACCCAGGAGGCCGGCGCCGTGCCTCTTGTCTCCGGGCCCTCGGCTGGGGAGAGCCACGTACCGGGGGGCACAGCCAGCAGCCCCGTGGCCGCCAACGCATCCCACCCCGACCCCAACCCCAACCCACAGCCCCCCCCGCACCCCACAGCCCCCCACCCCACAGCCCCGTGGCCGCCAACGCATCCCACCCGACCCCGACTCCGACCCACAGCCCCCCCCCCCGCACCCCACAGCCCCCCACCCCACAGCCAACCCGACCCCACAGCCCCGTGGCCGCCAACGCATCCCACCCGACCCCGACTCCGACCCACAGCCCCCCCCGCACCCCACAGCCGCCGACCCCACAGCCGCCCTACGCGTGTGCAGACACAGTAGCAGATCCCACCTCACTCCTCACCCGCCTGCAGGTCGAAGCTCACGTGCCCACTGAGCGCAGGGCTCTCACCACCAGAGTCGGCCCCAAGCTGAGCCTCCACAGGTTGGGGCACAGATTGGGCTCCATGGCGCACAGGCCGGCCGCGGCTGCTGTTTCTGCCTGTTAATCTGTTTATTCTCACATCGGTCACTGCAGACAGTGACCAGGCGCGGACTTCTGTGGATGGACACTCCTTGCCCCAGGGGGTGGGTGACCGTGTGGGGGTCTGTCTGCTCCCCACAAAGGCCCAGTGGGGGGACGGCATCAGGAGGAGCGGTGGGGTTGGGGCGGGACATTACATTTTGTGAGGAGACCAGTCTGGTATCTGGTCGGGAGTCGCCTGGGGGGCCCTCCCCAGGGATGGCGGTCTGGGTGCCGCTGTGTTCCAGCCCAGGACAGATGGACAGGGATGCAGGGCCCCCCATGAGCTGGAGCCCGCCCACAGGGCCTGTTCCCACCCTGGCCACTCCCGAGCCAGCGGGCAGGCAGTGCCTGGGCCTGGGTGCAGGAGGCTGGCCCTCTGGGTACGCCCAGCAGCCGCCCAGGGCCGGGGGCTCCTGGGTGCAGGCCTCAGGTGCACCGGTGTAAGTCGGGCTGGTCCGTAACGAGGTCAAAGGCACAAATGGAAATGCAGGGCCCAAAGGAGGCCGGTAACACCGATCCCGTCTCTGGCCTGCTGCCCGAGCGCCACGGGGCCTTCCACCCCAGGCCGGGCCTTGCGGGAGGCTTGAGGCAGCACCTGGTCCCCAGAAGGCATCTCTGGGTGGGGGAGGACCTGCACCCCAGGTGCTCGGTCTCCTCACACACCCTCAGGTGGTGGCACCCCTGCCCGCTGCCTCCAGCGCCAGGCTGTGATGCCCCTCCCTGCAAGCCACCTCATGGCTTCCGAGCCTGGCCCAGCCTCTGCTGCTCATGGCAGCCCCCCCCCCCCGCCCCCCCCGCCCTCCCCCGCCCAGTCCCCGGGGAATGGGGCCCCGCCTTAGCACAAAGCGCTGCAGGTTTATTTAAATAAAATTATAATTTATACAAGACGTCTTTAAACAGGGTCTGTTAAAAAACGACAGGTGCCATCGGTCCCTCGTACAGTAAATCCTTCGCGAACGGTCACACGTCCCGTATTTACAACGAGCGAGCGAGGAGCTCAGACAGCGGCCTGTCTGTCCATGGACGAGGCGCGGAAATTCGTCTCCCAGTTTACGTTCAGCGAAGCCATAGGCCCCCGACAGGAGGGAGCCGCCTGCACAGGTCTGCGCTCGGCCGCCTCGGCCCTCGGTGGGGGCCAGGCCGCCACACCCTGTCACGTGGTGAGTTTTCATCTCCCTTCTCCTCAGAAGGGACTCCAACACCACCCTGCAGGGGCTCGGAGCCCTCGCGCTCGGCAGGCACCCCTCCCGCCGCCCGGCCCCCAGCCAGGACACTGCCCCGCCGGCCGCAGGCACGGCTGACCCGGCTCCCGGGAGCTCTCCCCGGCCCGGCCTGGGCAGCTCAGGCCCACGCCGCCTCGCTGTGGACGCCCCGGGAGGCCCCTCGGGTGCGTCCCGGGGTCCCCGGGGCCTCAGCCCACGGGAGCGCCCACGGTCCAGCCGGTCCCGCTTCCCGTCCCTGCCCCGTGCCTCCCCGCGGGCGGCGTGGCGTGGCCTGGCCGGCCCTCCCTGAAGGGTGACCAGGGCGATGCTGCCCCCTCCCCAAACCAGCAAAGGGGGTCGGAGCGAAGGTAAAAATCACGTCTGAAAAACGATACAAAAATAAGAAAGCAGCTTGCTCTCTGTAAAAAATAGAATCTGTTTCTTCAAAAAACGGCATCTCACCCACACCCAGGCCTCGGCCGGTGGGCTGCAGGAATCCGTGTGGGAAGTGCGCTGCCCTGCGGGGTCACTGGCCGCCCCTCCCACGAGCCTGTTTTCTGCAGCAGCCACAGGCCTGTGGGGACACCGGCTGTCCCAGAATGCACTGGGCCGGCCACCTCCGCCAGGGCCGTGGCTTCCTCGGTGGGTGAGCCCAGACCAGCTGGGAGGGGGGCTCGCTCCCATCCGTGTGCGTGTGCGTGTGCGTGCGTGTGGGCGCGGGCCCGGCCCACCCTCTGGGCTCCGCTCCCGGTCACTGCCCAGAGGGCCTGCACAGCCGGGCCCGCCCGGCCCCAGCCCCTCCTCACGCCGGGGGCCACGCAGGCCCACGTCCATCTCAGCCCCGGGCCTTCCAAGAGCAAAGTGTTAAAAAAATGTGCTTCCACTCCACCCCCTCCACCCGTCAGGCGGGACGCAGGCCCCTGCCGGCTGGTCAGGCCGGGGCGAGAGGCCGGGCAGACCCCGGCCAATCCCGGCCGAGGCTCATGGCCCCACAGCCTGCGGCCCACACAAGCCCTGGCTCTCGGGGCCATGGCAGGGCTGGGTGCAGGCCGGTCGGGGCTCCGCTGTCCCCGGCGCCCTGCAGCTATGGCTTTGGTGGAACGCGCTGGGAGCCGCTGCGGGCGTGCCACACGTCCCGGGCAGAGGAGCCGTGTGCTTGGCGGGCGGACAGCGCCTCCTGCGTGTCTTCCTCCCCGGCCTCCGAGGTCCCTGGCCCGCAGGCGGCTGGCACCGTCCGAGCGACCGGCCCCTGCAGGGTCCGTGATTGCAGGTCCACACGACAGGAGCCACAGGTCCAGGGGTTATTGCAAAGGTCACGAGATGTCCGACTGTTTTCCTGCCACGCTGTCAATCACGCCCCAGGCTGGGGGGGTTAGCTGTCAATCACACCCCAGGCCGGGGAGGGCTAGCTGTCAATCACACCCCAGGCCGGGGAGGGCTAGCTGTCAATCACACCCCAGACTGGGGGGGCTAGCTGTCAATCACGCCCCAGGCCGGGGAGGGATAGCTGTCAATCACGCCCCAGGCTGGGGGGCTAGCTGTCAATCATGCCCCAGGCTGGGGGGCTAGCTGTCAATCACGCTCCAGGCCGGGGAGGGATAGCTGTCAATCACGCCCCAGGCTGGGGGGGTTAGCTGTCAATCACGCCCCAGGCTGGGGGGGCTAGCTGTCAATCACGCCCCAGGCTGGGGGGCTAGCTGTCAATCACGCCCCAGGCTGGGGGGTTAGCTGTCAATCACGCTCCAGGCCGGGGAGGGATAGCTGTCAATCACGCCCCAGGCCGGGAGCGCTAGCTGTCACTGCCTGAGGCTGCGCCCGCGGTGATCTTCAGGTACTGGCTGAAGATGGTCTCGAAGGCCTCGTCCCTGTGCACCATGGCGCCGAACACCAGCGGCTGCGGGGAAGCTGGCACTGAGCGGGGGGCCCGGCTGGCACTGAGCGGGGGCCCGGCTGGCACTGAGCGGGGGCCCGGCTGGCACTGAGCAGGGGGGGCCCGGCTGGCACTGAGCGGGGGCCCGGCTGGCACTGAGCGGGGGGCCCGGCGGGCACTGAGCCGGGGGGGCCCGGCTGGCACTGAGCGGGGGCCCGGCTGGCACTGAGCCGGGGGACTGGGCACTGGGAACCACATGGGGTCCAGGGGCTCAGGGCAGACCCCCTGCCCAACCAGAGGCCAGACTTCAGAGAAACGGAGCAAGAGGCAGGGGATGGGCCCCAGTGGCCGCCCCCCTCCCCAGGAACCGCGCTAGGTCATCCCTGCAGCCTCAGCCTCCTGCCACACCCTCAGTGCAGAGAGGTCCCTGTGGGCAGGAGGGAGGGAGAGGGAGGAGGGAGGGGGAGAGGGGGAGAAGAGGAGAGGGAGAGGGAGGGGAGAGGGAAGGAAGGAGGGAGGAAGGAGAAGGGAGGGGATGGAGGAGGGAGGGGGAGAGGGGGAGAAGAGGAGAGGGGAGAGGGATGGAAGGAGGGAGGAAGGGAGGGGGAGGAGAGGGAGGAGGAGGGGGAGAGGAAAGGAAGGAGGGAGGAAGGGGAGGAGAGGGAGAGGGAGAGGGAGAGGGAGAGGAAAGGAAGGAGGGGAGGAAGGGGGAGGAGAGGGAGGAGGGAGGGGAGAAGAGGAGAGGGAAGAGGGAGGGGGAGAGGAAAGGAAGGAGGGAGGAAGGGGAGGAGAGGGAGGAGGGAGAGGGAGAGGGAGAGGAAAGGAAGGAGGGAGAGGAAGGGGGAGGAGAGGGAGGAGGGAGGGGGAGGGGTAGAGGGGGAGAAGGAGAGGGAGGGGAGAGGAGAGGAGAGGGAGAGGGAAGGAGGAGGAGGGAGAAGGGAGGAAGGAGGGGGAGGAGAGGGAGGGGAGGGGAAGAGGGAAGGAAGGAGGGAAGGAAGGGGGAGGAGAGGGAGGAGGGAGGGGGAGAGGAAAGAAGGAGGGAGGAAGGGGGAGGAGAGGGAGGAGGGAGAGGGAGAGGAAAGGAAGGAGGGAGGAAGGGGGAGGAGAGGGAGGAGGGAGAGGGAGAGGAAAGAAAGGAGGGAGGAAGGGGGAGGAGAGGGAGAGGAGGGGGAGAGGGAAGGAAGGAGGGAGGAAGGGGAGGAGAGGAGGAGGGAGGGGAGAGGGAAGGAAGGAGGGAGGAAAGGAGAGGAGGGAGGAGGGGAGGAGGCCTGCCTGCCCAGCTGGAGCCTGGCAGGCCAGGGGCTCTGCACGGGCCCCAGGGCCCCGCCCGCCCAGCTCTTACCTTCTGGGTCGATGGCGTCGTCACGGCGATGCCCATGCCCGACCCCGGGAGGACAGACAGGACCTTGTACTGGAAGGGGAGCAGGTGTCACCAGGGCCTCCCGGGGCGGGCCGTGCCCTCCCACTCCGGCGTCTCCGTGGGCACGGGCCTGGCTCCCGGCCACGGGCAAAGGCTGAGTCTGTGGTGGGGAGTCGGTGGGCCCTGCCCCCGGCGTGCGCCCCCGCCCCAGCTCGGCACCCTGCGCCCACTCCATGCGGCACGCGTGGGGAGACCCGCTAGGCAGTGCCGGGGCAGGCAGCCCCCCGACCTGCCCTGACGGGGGCGGGGGCTCAGGGACGAGGCTCAGCCCTGCCCGGCTGGCGCGATGCTGTCTCGTCTGTGAGGACGCCAGGCGCAGCCCAGGGGAAGGGGCGAGGCCGGGGGCCGGGGGCCGGACAGACAGGAGCTGAGGGCTCTGTACGGGCCTGAGGGCCCAGACGCCAGGACCTCGCCCGCTGCCTCTAGGGTGGCACCTGCTCCTTGGACACGGGTTCCAGGAACTCCCGCCTGCCCGGCGCCCGGCGGCTCCCCGCGAAGGGGGCGGGAGGACGGGGAGCGGGAGGAGGGGGAGGAGGGGGAGGACGAGAGGACAGAGAGGACGGGGAGGACGGGAGGACGGGAGGACGGGGAGGACGGGGAGGACAGGGAGCGGGAGGACGGGAGGACGGGGAGGACAGGCAGCGGGAGGACGGGAGGACGGGGAGGATGGGGAGGACGGGGAGGACGGGGAGGATGGGAGGACGGGGAGGATGGGGAGGAGGGGGAGGGCGGGAGGATGGGCAGCGGGAGGGCGGGGAGGATGGGGAGGGCGGGAGGGCGGGGAGGACAGGCAGCGGGAGGACGGGGGAGGGCGGGGAGGACGGGGAGGACGGGAGGATGGGCAATGGGAGGATGGGCAGCGGGAGGGTGGGGAGGGCGGGGAGGACGGCCAGCGGGCCCACCTTCTGGATGTCGGTGATGTCCATCAGCCGGATGACCTTGTTCCTTTTGGAGGAGCCGGACTTGGAGCTCTCGAAGCACAAGTAGCTGTGGGTCAGAGGCGAAGCCGCTGCTGGGCTGGGGCCGCCGGCTGCCCCAGCCCAGGGCACGGAGGGCGGCCCGGACCCTAACCCTCCCCCCTCCACCAGGGCCCAGCCTCGGACGGAGGCTTGACATTTAGAAGGCGCCTCCCAGTGTCAGACTGAAGGCCGTGCTTGGCTCCGAACCCCAGATCGCTGCTCAGTGGTTCAATCCTGGGCCGCCAGCCGGCCCCGCAGGGAGCCCGGGGCTGGGGGCCCTGCCAGCTCCCTCGGCGAGGGGCAGAGGGAGACAGGGCCTGGCTGCTGAGAGTGGGGCCGCGGGTCAGGGCCTCCCCCCGCTGAGAAGCCCCCCGCGGCCTGGCCCCCGTCCCCCACAGGCTGGAGGGGCCCGGGATCAGCTCCCTGCAGCTCCTCCAGGGGCACGCACGGCCTGAGCCAGGATTGTGACGGCGGGGGCGCCAGTCCCCTGCAGCAGTGCCCGCCGCGGCCGGCCACTCACTTCTCCGTCACGTACAGCACCCCGTTCCGGATGTAGTCCGTGGGCATCTTCCGGTCGCGGTTGATGAGGCAGCAGCGCCAGCCGTTCTCACACACTGAGGGGCAAACGGACCGCGGTTCCCACCGGCAACGCCACGCGTGCCCGCCTCCACCCCACGGGGGTGGACAGGGAGGCCTTCTCCACCAGAGGAGGAGCCGGCGGCGGCTCAGGCTGACACCGACCGGAACCCGGGGCCACAGTGGGCACGTGCGCTGCGGGCTCCATCCCCAGGGCGGGGCACGCAGGAGGCAGCCCATCCAAGGTCCTCTCACTGTTACTGGCCCTCTCCCCCTCTCCCTCTCCCTCTCCCTTCCTCTCTGAAATCAATAAACTTTTTTTTTAAAGAAAAAAAAAAAAAAAGAAAGAAACGGGCGCTGGTTAAACAGCAAAGTTAACGAAATGAAACAGAGGCTCAGAGGCCCAGGTTCATGGTCAAGGTCAGCAGGACGAGGGCTCAGAAGGTCAACACTGACTCTCCCAGCCTCCCTCCCCTGGGGGCCCACCACTGATGTCAGACACGTGAGGAGCCCAGTGCACCAGCAGTTTAGGGGTTTAGGGAGACTGTTCTGGGGGGCAACAGGGATCTAGGCCTCCGTGTCAGATGGGCACGGCCGTGGTGCCCAGGCTGGACCTCAGGGCACTGCCTGCCTGTGCCAGGGAGCTGCCAGCAGTGCCAACCTGTGGGACGTGGCTCGCAGCCGGCCCTGCCGAGTTCCCGCTGGGAAACCAACCGCTGACCGCACAGGGACGCCCTGCACGGCCTGGGCCGGCCACCCGCTCCTCCCCTGCGGCCGGGACGTCTGCATACGAGGGGCAGCCCATCGCCCGCCCCCCCCCGGCGGCCCCCCCACGGCCAGGGCCCGGCTGGTGGCACACACCCGCCAGCGGCCGCTCGGTCTCCGCCAGGTTGAAGATCTCGTGGAAGTTGCCCTTCTTGGTGCTGTGCAGGCGGCCGGCGTCCTCGTCCCGGCCCAGGCCCGCGGGCGCGCTGGCCACGTAGCTCCTCGCGGACGCCGTCTGCAGCTGCCAACGCCCCGCCGTCAGCGCCCGCGGGCCAGCCTCCCCGCAGCTGCACACGCCCCCCGGAGGCGCACACGGCCGAGCCAGCGGGGCCGGGAGGGGCTGGGCGCCGGGCAGCTCGGGCGGCGGCTCAGAGCCAGAGCCGGTGGCGGACAGGCCAGTGAAGCCACGTTCAACGCCAGTCACGACACAGCAACGCACACACCAGCCACAGCGGGGCGCCCCTCGGACCCTACCTTCTGCCCTGACAGCTGGCCGCCGTGCGACCGCGGCAAGAGGAAAACGGTCCGCGTGACACGGGGCCACACACGCTCAGCAGCTGCACGCGCAGCCCGGCCATGCGCCCACACCCTGCTCCCGGACTCCCGGAGGGGCCGGCGCCAGGAGGGGGTCCTGACCCCGCCTCCACCGAGGCCTCCTCCGTCTGCCGAGCCCCGCCGCTGCCTGCTGCCTGCCGGCGGCACACCCCACAGCCTCCCCACGAGCCTTCCTGTCCCAGAACTGGGAGCATGGGGCTCCCCTCCCACCCACAGAAGCACCAACAGGTCACGGGACACCCTCTCCTGAGTTCACGCACACACACGGCTCTGCAAGCCAGCGTCGCCCTCCCTGGTCGGAGACCCCGAGGCAGCACGAGGCTGGCCCGGCCACGGGGCCGAGCCCACGTGGCTCTCCACCGACAGACCGGGACCAGGGCGGCCCGTCAGGAGCCTCCGCCCGCCCAGCGCGCCACTGCCGGGCACCTCCTCCCAAGGCCAGGCTCTCTGGAGCCATGACCACAGCCGGCCCTGGGCCCGGGGCCGCCCGGCTGGGGCGGTCCGGGGGGCGGGAGGGCGCCGGAGCCGTCTGCCAGGGCCGGGGGCTCGGGGCCCGCGCTCACCCTGCGGGACATGGCGGCAGCGCTGGAGCGCTCCTTGAGCTGCGGGTCGGTGGGCAGGCTCGTCCAGATGATGTAGGGGGTGTCGTACTTGGCTCGCAGCCGCGGGCAGCGTTTGAAGACGAAGTCGATGAGGAAGAACTTGATGCCGGCATAGAGTCCTGGGAGGAGAAGAGCCCTCACTGGGACACCACCAGCCGCCTGCTCGCGGGCCGTCCGCACCCTGGGTTGGCACGGTGCCCCCAGGGGGCGGGGGAGGAGAAGGCACGGAGACGGGGGGGGGGGGGGGGGGGAGGCACGGTGATGGGGAGGAGAAGGCACGGGGATGGGGGAGAGAAGGCACGAGGATGCGGGGGAGAAGGCACGGGGATGGGGGGAGGAGGCACGGGGATGGGGGGATGGGGGGAGAAGGCACGGGGATGGGGGAATGGGGGGAGAAGGCACGAGGATGGGGGGGAGAAGGCACGGGGATGGGGGGGAGAAGGCACGGGATCGGGGGGAGAAGGCACGGGGATGGGGGGGAGAAGGCACGAGGATGGAGGGACAGGGGGGGAGAAGGCATATGTCCCGGCTAAGGGAGTGGCCGCTTTCATGTTTCTGCAAACCCAGAGGTGACTCAGGACAAACCATAAAATTGCCACCCCCTCCCCCGCCCATCCACAGGCCATCGTCACCGTCCCAGGTGACGGGAAGGGGAACTGGGGACCGTCCCCAGCCGCCCTCTGAGGGGGCGTCCTCATGGCGGGGCTCCCCCAGGTGCCAAGGGACAGCAGTGAATCGCACCGCCCAGAGGCCGGGCCATCACCCCCGCCCCGTCCCCTGCCGGCCGCCCGCCGGCCGCTCACCCACGGCGAGCCCCACCAGGCGGTAGGGGAAGCAGCAGGAGGCCAGGAAGGCGGCCCACAGCGCCACGTACAGCTTCTGCGTGGTCTCAGGCTGCACCCACATGAAGAGGCTGGAAGGGAGACGGGGTCAGTGGGTGCGGGGGGACTGCGCGCGGCGGGCGGGGCGGGACTTACTTCTTGATCTTCTCCAGGATGTCGGCCATCTTCCCGAAGAGGTTCTGTGTGAGGAAGGCTGCGGTTGGGACAGACTCGGGGCCGTAGGGCCCAGAGGCTCCGGGCAGCCCCTCGAGACCACGCCGTGCCACGGCCCAGCCCCGCCCCAGCCAGGCTGGGGGGCTATCGGGGTCAGACCCAGTCCTGCGGCCCTCCCCGAAGCCCCTGCCAGGCCAGCCGGGCCGGCGGAGCGCACCTGCGCCTTCTGGGCCACGTCCAGCACCAGCTGGAACTTCTCGGACACGGTCAGGTCCTCCTTCGGCAGCTCCTGGGGCACAGGGCGAGAACAGCCGCCACGTTAACGCCGAGAGACCTCCCTCACCGACCGCACAAGGCCTTCCTCCGCCCACTCAGCCCACGGCCGCTGTCCGGGGACCTGGCCTTGGGGCCAGCTCGGCCTGAGAGGGCAGGAGGGCAGGCAGTGGACGCCCAGTAGCCGACGGGGCTGAGGCTCCCACTAATGGCTCCATCTGAAGATGCATCTGAAACCATGCAGTGGCCCCAACTCACTTTACGGGCAGGGAAACTGAGGCAGAGAGGGCCAGGCTCACCCCGCTTGCCTAAGTTCTTTCAACAAAACCCTCCAGAGGGACCCCTGGACCCAGGTCTGCCCCAGACATCCTCTCTGACCTCAGGGAACCCTGCAGGCCCCACCACACTCAGCACCCCCACTGCGTGCTCCATGCACACAGTAGGTGCTCAAACATCTGCTGAGGCCCAGGGAGCACTGAGCGCTCCCTCCTGCCCACACCAGCGGCTCTGCCCCGGGGCCAGAGTGCCCTCTGGAGCGAGCTCAGCATGTCTTTCCTGCCTGGGCACACTGCGGTTACTCGTTCCTGTCACAGCGCAGGGAGGCGAGTGGCAGGGCCGCGCCGACAGACTATTCACAGGCTGGAGGGAGGGAGGGGCCTGCGGAGCTTTGCCTTTGGACTGGCCCAGCCGCAGGCACTGCCTGCACAGGACGCTGCGGGAGCTAGAGGTTCCCCCTTCACTGCCCTCCATGTTCCACCCCCTTCACTGCCCGCCATGTTCCACCCCAGCTGGGAAGGGTCACAACAGGCCGGGCAGGGCAACCTCTTCCGGAGCAGCTGAGCCTGCGCCTGCAGGGCACTGGGCACCAGCTGTCACACTGTCAGGGCCTGGGCACCGGGCACCAGCTGTCACACTGTCAGGGCCTGGGCACTGGGCACCAGCTGTCACACGGTCAGGGACCGGGCACTGGGCACCAGCTGTCACACGGTCAGGGCCTGGGCACTGGGGCACCAGCTGTCACACGGTCAGGGACCGGGCACTGGGGCACCAGCTGTCACACGGTCAGGGACCGGGCACTGGGGCACCAGCTGTCACACAGTCAGGGACTGGGCACTGGGGCACCAGCTGTCACACGGTCAGGGCCTGGGCACTGGGGCACCAGCTGTCACACGGTCAGGGACCGGGCACCGGGCACCAGCTGTCACACGGTCAGAGCCTGGGCACTGGGGCACCAGCTGTCACACTGTCAGGGACCGGGCACCGGGGCACCAGCTGTCACACGGTCAGGGACCGGGCACTGGGGCACCAGCTGTCACACTGTCAGGGCCTGGGCACTGGGGCACCAACTGTCACACGGTCAGGGCCTGGGCACTGGGGCACCAGCTGTCACACGGTCAGGGCCTGGGCACTGGGGCACCAGCTGTCACACGGTCAGGGCCTGGGCACTGGGGCACCAGTTGTCACACGGTCAGGGACCGAGCACCGGGCACCAGCTGTCACACGGTCAGGGCCTGGGCACTGGGGCACCAGCTGTCACACGGTCAGGGACCGAGCACCGGGCACCAGCTGTCACACGGTCAGGGCCTGGGCACTGGGGCACCAGCTGTCACACGGTCAGGGACCGGGCACTGGGGCACCAGCTGTCACACGGTCAGGGACCGGGCACTGGGGCACCAGCTGTCACACGGTCAGGGACCGGGCCACGGGGGCACCAGCTGTCACACGGTCAGGGACCGGGCACCGGGCACCAGCTGTCACACTGTCAGGGCCTGGGCACCGGGCACCAGCTGTCACACTGTCAGGGACCGGGCACTGGGGCACCAGCTGTCACACGGTCAGGGACCGGGCGCCTCCGGCCTCTGCTGGGCAGGCGGGGCTCCGGGTGGGCACCCACACAGCGGCACCTGGCCTCGGGGGCCCTGCAGGGACTTACCACCACTTCGGACACCTCGGGCACGATGCTCCACTGTATCCTCCAGCCCCTGCGGAGGGGAGACAGGGCACACGCTCAGGGGCCTCACACCCCCTACCCCTACCCCCGAGTGACGGGCGGGAGGAGCGCCCGCCCCGGACAAAGGGTCACCTCCATGCCACCTGCCCCCCTTCCCCGCCCCCCCTGCAGACCATTCGGGTGCCCTCCTGGCCCTTCCCCTGAGCCGCCTGGGGGGACACATGGAAAAGCCCCCGAGGTGATGGGACAAGAAACCTTTCCAAGCAAGTGGGTGAGGCCCCGCCCACATGGCCTACGAACCAGGAGGTCAGGGTTCGATTCCTGGTCAGGACACCTGCCCAGGGGTGTGCAGGAGGCAGCCGATCCATGCTTCTCCCTCTCCCCCTCTCCTTTCCTCTCTGACATCATTAAAAAACATTAAAAAATAAAAAACAAAGGAGATGAGGGGAGGCCGCTGGGAGGCCTGGGGCTGCGGGGCGTGAGGCGGCCCGCCAACTCTGACTGCCTTTGGCCGGCGCGGCCGGGAGTGGGAGACGCGGAGCGCGGGCCAGTACGGGGGCTCTCAGGCCGGGGAGGGGCTCCCTGTGCCGGGCACCGTGAGTCCAGAGAGACCCCCAGAGCCCCCACGGCCTCGCTCGGGGCTCAGAGGATGGAGGGAAACTCGCAGACCGGGCGCCCGCTGGGCCTCTGCAGCTCAGTCCTGAGGTTTGGGGGGGGGGGGGCTTTCTAGCCAAACAGAGCCATCGGAGGAGGAGCCAGAGCTGCCTGGGCACTTTTGGAATCATCCACGGCCGCCCCGGCCGCCCAGACACCGGGAGGCTTAGCGCACAGGTGACCCACACGCCCTGCACAACCCGCTCACCCACCTGGCTATGAGGTAATTGAGGGACAGCCGCAGGATCGCCAGGAACAGGAACATGGGGATGGCCCAGCCGTGCCACACGGCGTTCATGTAGACCTGTGGGCGGGGGGGGGGGGGGGTCAGGGGCCCGGCAGGCAGGCCTCATTCCTCCCCTCCCTGCCCTGCCGCAGACGGCCCTGGTGCCCAGGGGGAGGGACCCCAGGCTCCGCAGGCGGACAAGGCCCTGCTGTCCCCTCTGCCCACCGGGAACAGAGCAGAGCAGAGCACGCGGAGGCTCCGCAGGCGGCCAGGCGCACACCGCCCTGCTCCTCTCAACCACCCCCAGGCGGCACCACCGCCCACTTCACAGGCGGACAAACCGAGGCTGGCCGTCCCGCACCCCCGCCCGCGAGGAGCGCTCACGGTGAAGGCGATGGCGGACGTGTAGACGGAGTGCCAGTCGGACAGGGCGGACAGGTTCTTCACGAAGCTGGTCACCGGCTTGGCGCCGCGCTCTGCGGACGGAGACACGGTCAGGCCACGCCGGCAGCCTCGCGTGCTGCCCGGTGCCCGCCCGCCACCCCATGCCGGCGAGGGGCTGGGGCTCCACGCCCAGGGGCAGGGTGGGCCCGGGCACGCTGCCAGCGGCTGAGGGAGAGGCTGGGAGCCCCCCCCCCCCCCCCATGGCGGGCACTCACTCAGTCGCCGCATGTTCTCGGTCAGCCTGCAAGACAGGGAGGGCGAGGTGAGGGCCAGCGAGAACTCCCCTGTGGCTGCGCCCCCCCCCCCTGCAGCTCGGTGCTGGCTGTGCCCCCCTTACCCCCCCCCCCCCAGGTGGGGCGCCTGTTCACCGAGCGGGTGCCTGGCCCCACAGGAGGAAGGAAGGCCCGCAGCGGAGGACAGGCGGGGCCATCGCCATCCCGAAGCCGTGGGCGGCCTCTGCGCGCCCTCAGGGGCAGAGCGGCTGGGAGCCGAGCGGGCGCCCCCGGCTGCCGCCCGAGCCCACCTGCGGGCGCTGAGGGGCTCCTCCGTCTCCACGGCGCTCTCCTCGGGCTGGAACCGGAAGTCCTCCACGTACTCCCCGAACTTCTCGTGGAACCACTTCTGCAGGCGGGGGCACAGGCCCTGGCCCCGCCGGTCTGCGGGCACAGGGGCAGCGGTGAGGCTGGGGCTCCAGGATGCCCCGGGGGGTGCAGGTCCACGCCCGGCTGCGGAGGGCTCGGCCCCCCAACAGAGCCAACCTGCTCTGCCACAAGGAGCACGCCAGCCCACACGGCCTCTCTCACGCCTGGCCCCGGCCCCCGCCCCGGCCCCCGCCCCGGCCCCCGCCCCGGCCCCCGCCCCCGCCCCCGCCCCGGCCCCCGCCCCCGCAGCTCGCAGCCACCTGGTCTGCATCCAGCCTCCTCCTCCGACTGGCACACGGGGCTGCCTGGGAGGTGGCTGTGTGTCACTCCCCGGGACCCAGCGCCCCAGCCAGCGGGTATGTGTCGGGGACTGGCCTGGGAGGGGGCAAGGATTGGGAAGCACCCCAGCACAGCCTCAGAAACCGGGGTGGGACACACACACACACACACACACACCCCCCACAGAACATAGCTCTGCACCCGGCTGTCCCTTCAGGAGGCAGTTCTCGGGGCCGCCTGCAGGGGGCAGTGTCCGCCACCGTTAGAGGGAAGAGGGAGGGAGCGGTCACATCCTGTGCTCCAGGGACAAGGCTGGGAGGTGTCTGCAGAGGCCACCCCAGCACAGAGGGGGTGCGGGCCTGGCGCTCGAGGGACAGGGTGAGGCAGGGTCAGCCTTGCGCTAGAGCAGCTGCGGGCCCCACACACCAGGGACACGGGGGTTTGAAACGCAGCTGCACGGCTGTGACATTCTGATGGGCGACTTGCCTTCCTGCAGCCACTCACCGATCCTCAGACACTAACCCCGCTCCGATGGGGGGCCCGGAACAGGATCGCCAGCCAGCACCACCCCCGCCGGGAGCCCGCGGGACCCACCTGCTCCTGCTCCGTTAGCGACCGGGGCCTGGCTCCTCGGAGGCTGCTGGGCCGCCTGCTCCTCGGTCCTTAAAGGGGAGGAAGTGGGGAGGCCACCTGAGCCCTCGGGGCCCTCACGGCCAGCTCACACCCAGCGCCCTCGGGGCCCTCACTGCCAGCTCACGCCCGGCGCCCTCGGGGCCCTCACTGCCAGCTCACGCCCGGCGCCCTCGGGGCCCTCACGGCCAGCTCATGCCCGGCGCCCTCGGGGCCCTCACGGCCAGCTCATGCCCGGCGCCCTGGGGGCCCTCACTGCCAGCTCATGCCCGGCGCCCTGGGGGCCCTCACGGCCAGCTCATGCCCGGCGCCCTCGGGGGCCAGCAGGGCCAGAGGAGCTGCCCAGCAGGGCCTTTCCTTTCCCGTTCGTTCGTTCTCACAGTTTGCTCCCTTGTTGGTGGTTGAGCTCAGAACCGCAGCTCTCACTGCTGGCTCCCTGGCCACTGGTGCCGACACCGACTCCGGGTGACCCAGCACCACGCGGGGCGGCTCGCCCTGGCCGGCCACCTGCCTGGCTTCCTGTGCCTGCAGCCCAGCCACACCCATCTCAGCGTCCCCGGCCTCGAACCCTCTCCCGGAGCAGCTGGATCCTGACCGTCCGCCTGCCCTTCCGCCACGACCCTGACAGTGCTGGGCTCCACCACCTCGGGTGGTGTCTGTCCAGGGCCTGGCGCTCGCCCTCCTCCATGCCGCAGCCGCCCATCATGCCCCCTCGCTCTGCACTGGCCTGGGCTGCTGGCCCTGGTTCCCAGCAACCCCAGTCCAGCAGGCACCCAGGACGTGGGAAAGGTGTCGCTCCAGGCAAACCTCAGCGGGGCCTGGGGGTCCAGAGGGGGCCCACACCTGCCCTCCGCACCCCAGCACCCCCTAACCTGGCCCTGTACCGCTCACCTACCCTACACCTCCCTCACCAGCCCCACACCCCTCACCGGCCCTGCACCCCCCTCACCCGCCCCTGCACCCCCTCACCTGGCCCTGCACCCCTCACCTGCCCCCGCACCCCCCTCACCTGCCCCCCGCACCCCTCACCTGGCCCTGCACCCCTCACCTGGCCCTGCACCCCCCTCACCCGCCCCCGCACCCCCTCACCTGGCCCTGCACCCCTCACCGACCCTACACCACCCTCACCAGCCCCGCACCCCTCACCGGCCCTGCACCCCCCTCACCAGTCCCGCACCCCTCACCGGCCCGGCCACCCCCCTCACCAGCCCTGCACCCCTCACCGGCCCCGCACCCCCCTCACCGGCCCTGCACCCCTCACCGGCCCTGCACCCCTCTCACCTGCCCCCCACACCCCTCACCTGGCCCTGCACCCCTCACCCGGCCCTGCACCCCCCTCACCCGCCCCCGCACCCCCTCACCTGGCCCCCGCACCCCTCACCGGCCCCCGCGCCCCCCTCACCCGCCCCGGCGCCCGCACCCCGCACCTGGCTTTCAGCACTTCCTGCACCTTCTGCTCCAGCTCGATGCGCCGCTGCCGCTCGCGGTCCAGCTCCTGCCGCAGCATCTCGGCGTTGGTCTCCTCCCGCAGCTTCCGGAGCTCCTCCTCTGCGGGGAGGAGACCGTGAGCGCCCGCCCCTGCCCCTGCGTGCCCGGCGCGGTCTGCGGGCACCTGGAGCTCCTCGCTGCCCGACAGGGACACAGCGGGGACACAGCGTGGACATAGGGACTTGGCAAACGCGATGACGTTAAGGATCTCGATTCAGGAGAGTGTCCTGGACTCTCTGGATCGTGTAAATCCTGAGAGGGAGGAGGGTGAGAGGTCAGAGGTCAGAGGTCAAAGAGCCCAGAAGATGCCCCTGCTGACTCTGAAGTCGGAAGGAGGGGGCAGGAGCCAAGGAATGCAGCTCCTCTGGAGGCTGGAAAAGCCATGAGCGAACCCTCCCAAAGCAGCTGAGGGTCACGCAGCGACGGTGAGGGCGGGACCACTCACCACGTCAGGGGGGGAGGGGGGGGGTCACTGCACAGCAGGGGGTCCAATAGGGCTGAGTGTGGCCTGTGATGGCCACGGTCAGGGTGACAGTCACAGACCACAGACCACCCGGATAGAGGGCAGGTGACGGTCACAGACCACAGACCACCCGGATAGTGGGCAGGTGACGGTCACAGACCACAGACCACCCGGATAGAGGGCAGGTGAGGGTCACAGACCACAGACCACCCGGATAGAGGGCAGGTGACGGTCACAGACCACAGACCACCCGGATAGTGGGCAGGTGACGGTCACAGACCACAGACCACCCGGATAGAGGGCAGGTGACGGTCACAGACACCTGGGTAGGGGGGTCGGCAGGCTGAGGCCTTGCGAATGGAAATTCCACAGGAAAAGCCACATTTGCTCTTGCCCCGAAGGCTTTCCTGAGACCCAGAAACATGACCAGTTTCACTGAATTTGGGTGACAAGGGCCCTCGGTGAGAGCCAGGACTTCTCCTCGAGGTCTGACCAGTGAGCAGGGCTGCAGGGGGGCCTCCACCGCCCCTCACCGCGGCAGTGGCACCCCCTGGCCTGGGCAGGATGGCCCGGTGCTCCGGGTGATGTAGCAGCTTCTCTTCCTGGCCCATCTCAAGAGACCTGGGACCCAGGGCCACACCCAAGACCCTGACATTCAGGCAAAGACTCTGACCTACAGCCCAGGCCCTGACCTACAGCCTAACCCCGACTTACAGCCCAGGCCCTGACCTACAGCCCAGGCCCTGACCTACAGCCTAAAACCCGACCTTACAGCCCAGGCCCTGACCTACAGCCCAGGCCCTGACCTACAGCCCAGGCCCTGACCTACAGCCCAGGCCCTGACCTACAGCCTAACCCTGACCTACAGCCCAGGCCCTGACCTACAGCCCCAGGCCCTAGACCTACCAGCCTTACCCTGACCTACAGCCCAGGCCCTGACTTACAGCCCAGGCCCTGACCTACAGCCCAGACCCTGACCTACAGCCTAAACCCTGACCTACAGCCTAACCCTGACCTACAGCCTAACCCTGACCTACAGCCCAGGCCCTGACTTACAGCCCAGGCCCTGACCTACAGCCCAGACCCTGACCTACAGCCTAACCCTGACCTACAGCCTAACCCTGACCTACAGCCCAGGCCCTGACCTACAGCCCAGGCCCGGACCTACAGCCTAACCCTGACCTACAGCCTAACCCCTGACCTACAGCCTAACCCTGACCTACAGCCTAACCCTGACCTACAGCCCAGGCCCTGACCTACAGCCTAACCCACACCTATAGCCCAGGCCAGTTTCCAGAAGCCGCTGTGCCTGGACGCAGGACCCTGTCTGCCGGCACAGAGCGGGCCAGACAGAGGAGAGGGCGCCGGGGGGAGGGAGGCGCTGGGACATCCCCACCCCCCTGGGAGGCCGGGCCGGGCCGGCGTCGTCTGCCCAGGGACACGTTTGGGTTTGCGGAGTGCCGGACGTGCCTGGGTAAATGTTTGGAGGCTCGGTCCTCTGTCCCGCCTGCTGCCTCGGCGGCTCCTCATTGACCTCCGCCCCGCGCCTGCCCCGAGGAGACGGTCCTCCCGAACGGGAGCCGTCCCGCCCCCCACGCTCCTCCTCCGGACACGGCCCTCGGCCCGCCAGCACGCCTGACAGAACCCCGCTTTCCTGAACACGGCTGCCTGGACGCCCGCCCAGGTCCCTCAGCAGAAAGGCCACCGCGTGGCAGCAGCAGCCAGGCCGGCGGAGGGCAGGATGCGCAGGATGCGAACTCGGAAAGTGATCCCTGTCTGACCCGTGGGAGGCGCTGTGCCCGCCTGAGGGGCAGACGCCCACACCACGGGGCTGCAGACAGGGGCCTCGCCCTCCAGCCCGAGCTGCCTGCCCCGCCCCGCCCTGGGGCTGCAGAGCCAAACAAACACCCCCCCACCCCGCCTCAGGCCCTGCCCCCGCGGCTGCAGGGCTCTCCCCAGCCAGGAGGGAGCAGGGGCGCCCCAGGCCCCTGCCGCAGGGACTGCAGCCTGGGGCCCTGCTCGTCCCAGTTGGGCAAAGCTGTGAGATGTGCCTCCGCCAAGCGCCCCCTTCCCGGTGGCACAAGCAGCTAAATCAGCACCAGCGCCGCCCCTACCGCTCCTCTGAGGTCCTGCTCCTCAGAGCACGCTCCCTGTCCGCCAGGCCTGGTAGGACCCAGCAACTACGTTACAGGCCAGAGGCGGGTGCTCGCCGAGGACGGGGAAGGGACAGGTCTCCGTGGACAGAGACGTGGCCCAAACCAGGCCACGCCCGCACAGCAGTGAGTGCGGGAGCACAGACAGGGGAACTCGGGGTTCCACCCCAAGGCCCGCTGTGGAGGGAGCGCGAGGGCCTGGCGGGGGGAGGGAGACACGGACGGGCCACCGTTACTGACGGGGGAGTGAGAACAAGCACCGCCGTGGCTTCTGGGAGGCACAGACCGGAAACAGAGGAGCCTGGGCGTCCGTGTCACCCGGAATTCACCCGAAGGACTGACCGTGAAAGACTGGTATCCTGGGAAAGAGAGGGGACGGGGCGCAGGAGAGAAACCCGACTCTGCGCAGCCCGGGACCTGCAGACGCGCGGGGATGCGGCTCCCGTTGAAGAGGGCTCCGCAAACCTCGTCATGAGGGGCCAGCAGACACCAACCCGAGGGACAGACAGTCTACAGAACAAGGGGCATCAGAGACACACAGACAGCCCCCCCGTGGCTCCGTGGCTGGAGCGTGGCCCCACGGGCCCAAGGGTCTCGGGTTCGACTCGGATCCAGGGCATGTAAGTGAATTACAGGCTCAGCCCCAGCCCCAGCCGGTGTGTTCGGGAGGCGACCGTGGCTCTCACGTAGAAGCTTCTCTCTCCTCCCCCTCCCTTCCGTTCACTCTAATGAGACCACGGGAGAGGCGGCGGCCGCGTGTGCCGGGACCTGCTAACCTCGCTGTGGACACATGGGCACAGGGAAGGCAGAGAGGCCTCAGGTCAGATGGCAGCACCGCTAACCTCGCCGTGCCCTGTTTAGACAAGAGGATGTGCTTGTGTTTGGGAAACACCGGGAGGCAGTCAGAACTCAGGGACACGTGCCTGCCCAGGGCCCCCCAACGGCACAGGAAGTAACGTGCACGACAGGAGGAGGTGGAGCGCAGGCGGAGGCGGAAATCCCTGTTTCGCAACCTCTCATGAAACGATGGCACAGAGCCATGATGATGGAGGCGGGGACCCCAAGGGAGGCCCCCCAAGGTCACCCCTCCCATCAGCCCAGAGGGACGCGACATGACAGGTCACGTATGGAATCCATGGGACTCCCTGAGCAAAGTACGAAGTGGAGACCCCACCACAGAGGGCCTGCCCTCCCAGACAGCCTGCCCCCCCACAGCCTGGCCCCCCCATAGAGGGCCTGCCCTCCCAGACAGCCTGCCCCCCACCTCCTGGCCCCCCATAGAGGGCCTGCCCTCCCAGACAGCCTGCCCCCCCACAGGCCTGGCCCCCCCATAGAGGGCCTGCCCTCCCAGACAGCCTGCCCCCCCACAGCTTGGCCCCCCCATAGAGGGCCTGCCCTCCCAGACAGCCTGCCCCCCCACAGCCTGGCCCCCCCATAGAGGGCCTGCCCTCCCAGTCAGCCTGCCCCCCCACAGCCTGGCCCCCCCACAGAGGGCCTGCCCTCCCAGACAGCCTGCCCCCCACAGACGGCCTGCCTGCCCCCCCCAATAGAGGGCCTGCCCTCCCAGACAGCCTGCCCCCCCCACAGCCTGGCCCCCCATAGAGGGGCCTGCCCTCCCAGTCAAGCCTGCCCCCCCACAGTCTGGCCCCCCCACTAGAGGGCCTGCCCTCCCAGTCAGAGGCCTGCCCCCCCCACAGCCTGGCCCCCCCATAGAGGGCCTGCCTCCCAGTCCGCCTGCCCCCCCCACAGCCTGGCCCCCCCACAGAGGGCCTGCCCTCCCAGTCAGCCTGCCCCCCCACAGACGGCCTGCCCCCCCCCAGCCTGGCCCCCCCATAGAGGGCCTGCCCTCCCAGACAGCCTGCCCCCCCCCACAGCCTGGCCCCCCCCACAGAGGGCCTGCCCTCCCAGTCAGCCTGCCCCCCCACAGCCTGGCCCCCCCCATAGAGGGCCTGCCCTCCCAGTCAGCCTGCCCCCCCACAGCCTGGCCCCCCACAGGCCTGGTCCCCCCATAGAGGGCCTGCCCCCCGAGACAGCCTGCCCCCCCACAGAGGCCGGAAGAGAAGCAGCGGTCAGCACCGAGGGACCCAGCTGCCGGCGCCCAGGCTGCTGAGGGAGGATGCGGGGGCGGCGGGGACGTGGGCTCACGTGGGAAAGCTGGCGACACAAAGAAAACGTGTGTGTTTTCCGTGGTGATGTCAGACGCGCTGCTTTCGTTCCTAGAACACAGCGAGCTGCCTGACGAAATGTTCACAGATGACACGACGGGGCGTGCGGGGACTCCCGGGAGGGCTGGGGGCGCGGGCGGGGGCCGGCCTGCCTCACCCTCCGGCGGAAGCTGGGGGAGGCGTGTGGGGGAGAACATGACGCTCTCAGTGTCTCTCTCTGACGTTTCCCATCGCTAAGAAAGAATGCCCGGCCCGGCCGTGTGGCTCAGTGGGCTGAGCCGGAAGTTTGCAGGCTCGTCCTGGTCAGGGCACACCCAGATGTGGTTCGGCCCCCGGGGGGCGTGTACGGAGGCGATCGACGAACACCTCTCTCACTGGCCGTCCCCCCCCTCGCTCTGACGAAGGGAAGACGCCCTCAGTGAGGAGGAGCCAGCAGCCGTCAGCGCTGCCCGGGCTGTGCCCACGGGCCCCGCTCTGCCCTGCGAGCTCCCGGGGCCGGGGACGGCCTCCTCATCAGAAAGGACAGACCACAGGCTGGTCTAGGGCTCAGCGGTGCTGCTCCGAGGCAGGAGCTCCCGTCCACGTGGATCCGGGCGCCCAAACGGTGTCCCCGTGGGGCCCGCGGTCCTGCCCAACTGCTGGACATCGCTCCCCACGGCCCTGCAGAGGCCCCTGCCCCGCCCTGGAGCCCCGGCTTAGAGGCTCTCGCAGACCCTGCCCCACGCTGATGGCATTTGGCTCAGCTGGCTCACGGACACGTGTGTCACGGCCGAATCTGGCCGCTTGACCCACAACAGCCAAGTTCACGAGGCTCGTCTGCTGATGCGGCAGCGTCCCCGCCAAGCTCGGGCAGAGGCTCCCGCACTGGCCAGCGGCCTGTCCTGCCGGGCACCGTCCCCCCGGGCACCGTCCCCCCGCGGGCCCAGCACAAGCCCCGTCACAGGACCCGGTCAGGCAGGCCCAGGAGCCACAGCAGCCCCAGACCTGCTGCACCCGCTCCCCAGCAGGTGCCACAGCCTCCGGCACGAGAGAGACCGAGGCTGTGTGTACACACCTGCACACAGGCACACGTGGAGTTAGCGGCACACACACGCACACGCAGAGTTAACAGCACGCACAGGCACACAGGCAGAGTTAACAGCACACACACGTACACCCATGCTCAGATAACAGCGCACACACGCACACATGCGGTTAATGATACACACACGTGCACATATGCAGTTAACAGCACACACCGTGAGTTAATGATACACACGTGTTCACATGTGCAGAGTTAACAGCACACACACGTGCACACATGTGGAGTTAACAGCACCCACGTGGAGTTAACAGTACACACACCTGCACCCGTACTCACGGAACAGTGCATGTGCACACACACATGCAAAGTGAACAGCGCACACATTCAGAGTTAAATGCATACATATGTACACACATGTGGAGTTAACGGAGCGCACACACTCATGCATGCACACAGAGTTAACTATGCACACACGCAGAGTTAATATATGTACACACAGAGTTAATAGCACACATGTGGCCTTAACTGCGCGTACACACACGCACACACACGAAATTAACAACACATGTGTGCACAGCCACGTAGTTAACAGCACACAGATGTGTTGCACAGTTAACACCACATGTGCACACACACGGAGTTAATAGTGCACACATGCAGATTTAACGATTGCATATACACATGTGCACAGAGAGCTGATTGCACACCTGTGCGCGCGCGCGCGCACACACACACACACACACACGTGTGCACACACACCTGCAGGGGGAGTGCTGACAGGAAAGGGGTTTGAGGGGAAGACTGCAGCCCTGCGGGGGGACACGCAGAAACGCAGACACACGTCACCTGCTCCCGGGAGAAGGCCGTAGCCCACGGGTACGGCTCAGACACGCTCAGTGTGCGAACACCAGGGACACACGGACAGAGGGGGAGACAATCCCAGGGGGACAGGCAGGAGGGAGGCCCAGTGGGTTTGACGGGCAGGAGGTGGCTGCCTGGGCCCTTCCCCCGGGGCCTGGGCAGCCCTGCGAGGCGCGGAGGTGACTAGTTCAGGGTGCTCAGGGCGGAGCTGCCTGCCCCCCCCCCCATTCCCGACAGGGTCACCCGCCCTGAGCCAGCCGTGTTGCGCAGGGGTCACGTGTGAGCCTGGCTGAGGGCATCACCGAGGGCCACTCCCTCCTCCGCCCTCTGTGCTGGGTCTCCTCACCTACAGAGCGGGCCGGCCGGCGAGGCTGTGGCGGAGCACCAACCTGGGAGCCAGGAGGTCACGGTTCGGTTCCCCGTCAGGGCACCTGCCGGGGTTGTGGGCTCCATCCCCAATGGGGGGCGTGCTGGAGGCAGCCATCCATGATTCTCTCATCATTGATGTTTCTCTCTCTCTCCCTCTCCCTTCCTCTCTGACATAAAAAAAAAACAAACAAAAAAACAAATAAGCCGAAACCGGTTTGGCTCAGCAGATAGAGCGTCTACCTGTGGACTGAAAGGTCCCAGGTTCGAATCCGGTCAAGGGCATGTACCTTGGTTGCGGGCACATTCCCGGTGGGGGGTGTGCAGGAGGCAGCTGGTTGATGTTTCTCTCTCATCGTTTCTAGCTCTCTATCTCTCTCCCTTCCTCTCTGTGAAAAATCAATAAAATATATATATTTTTTAAAATAATAAAAAATAAAACAAATAAAAACAAATGCAAATAAAAACAAATAAAAATAAATAAGTAAATGAGTGACACAGGGGCAGCGAGCGGATCCAAGGCAGCAGGTGGAACGAGACAGCGTCTGTGGGACCCGCGGGCCCTTCCGAACGCTCGGCGGTCACCAGCCAAAGCCCAGGGCAGGAGCCCATGGGGGAGGGGCGCCAGCAGCCCAGCCCAGCCATCACACACACACACACACACACACACACACTGCTGTGCCTCGCGATTCGCTGTGGAAAACAAGCAGAACACACAGCACGACAGGCCCGTGTCCAGGGCCGGAGACAACGGCGCGCGGATGGCTGGGATGATGCGATTTCCGGGGAGACTCCCTCCTCCGCCCGGGAGCTGAGCCGCCAGAGCAGGGCTTGGGGCAGCAGAGGGACCGCGGACTCGGAGGCGAGAGGCGTGCGGGCGCCCACAGGCGCCGCGGGAGCTGTCCTGACCGGCTCCTCCCAGCCTGCCCCCCCCCCCTCGGCACTCACGCAGGAAGTGCTTCTCCAGCAAGGCGATTTCCAGGTGGCCTTTGATCTCGTTCAGCCGGTCGGACTCCGTCCGGTTGAAGTCATGGACTCCCGCGGCCATGATGAGGGTCCCCGGACCGGCCTGGAGGGAAACACGGAGAGAGCGAGCTCAGGGCGCCCCTCGAAGCTCCCGGTCCACCCAGCGCCCCGGAGCCCCAGCCTGCCGGGCCCTGCGCACAGGCAGGCGCGGGTTCACCTGAGACCCACGGCGGGTCGCTCGGCCTCCCCTGAGCACAGCGGCTCCCCTGCCCTCCCCAGGAGGAAGGGCACACCCGCCAGCAAACCCATCCGTCCCCGCCCAGCCTCCCGTGGTGGTCCGGAGGTGGCCACACAACCACGTGACTGTGCGTAAGTGCCACTGAGCGGCACTTAAAATGGCTCACGTGGCAGGTTTCCTGTGATGTGCATGTCACCACACAGACACACAATGAAGAGAAAGCCTAAACACACAGGTGGCCAACCTCCCTCACAACCAGGCCTCACAGCAGCCACTCAGAGCTCCCACCCCGCCCCCTGTCCCCCGCCTCCGCCTCCCACTCCCTACCCCCCACCCCCCTGCCCCCTGCCCTCGCCCCCTGCTCCCCACCCCTTACTCCCCACCCCCCTGCCCCCTGCCCCCCGCCCCCTACCCCCCGCCCCCCGCCCCCTGCCCCCCCCGCCTCCCACTCCCTACCCCCCCACCCCTGCCCCCTTCCTCCCCCCTGCTCCCCATCCCCTACTCCCCACCCCCCTGCCCCCTTCCCCCTGCCCCCTACCCCCCCCCACCTCCTGCCCCCCCCCCCCGCCTCCCACCGGTAGAGAGGACAGCAGAGCCAGAGGACAGCTGAGTGAGCGGAGGAAGGGCGAGGGGCACACACACCGCGGGAGGTGGGGGGGGCGGCCTGGTACGGCACACACCAGCCACCGGGGGCACGTAGCTCACGGGAGTGGCAGGTGCCCAGAGGCACCAAGTGCCCTGGGGGAGAGGCACCCCCTCCCGAGGGACCCTGCGACCAGCCTCCCCCTGCAGAGAGGGTCCTGAGAAACACACGGAGGGAATGGACGGGGCCTGGGTCACAGCCCTGGGCACCGCACTCTTAGTGCCATGTGCCCGGATGGGAGCACTAGCACCAGCCCCAGCCTGCTGACCCTCTGTGCTGTCACCTGCCACGGGCACTCACACATGCATGTGCATGCGTACACACGAAGACACACGTGCACGCACACGCACATGCACATGGGAGGGCCAGGCTCTGGGTACAGTCAGGGTCTCCATCAAGATAGCTCCTGGGTGCAGGCAGCTGCCACTGGCCGCTGGACAGATGGACAGAGCGTGGAAAAGTCAGACTGATTCTGCGGGATCCCGCCTCACACACACGCACACACACAGCCTGGAGCCACACGTGGGATTCTTGTTCCCGAGTGGCCCACCCTCGGCCCCAACAACGTCGGAACCAGCCCCAGCCCCAGGCTGATGCCGGCCAACAGCACACGCCGTGGCCCGAGCAGGCGAGCCGCGCTCGGTGCCGGGCGCGCTCTCAGGAGGCCGGCTGTCAGCTATTCATCCCGCCCCGCCGGCTCCCAGCCTCTCCCGCCGGACCGTCCGTAACACACGGAGCGGAGGCGGGCGCACAGGGCCCGGGAGGAGTCCCACGGCCCCGAGCGCGGCGTCCACGCCGGGAGGTCACCAGGGCGGCGAGGAGAGCCCGGCAGCAGGCCGGGGGCGGACGCTTCCAGAGGGCCCTGTCCGTGGCCCTCCTGCACCACCGCTCGCAAGGGCACCGCCTCCGCTGAGGAGTCTGCCCACCACCCCCCTCGGAGGGAGGACCAGCTGCTGTGCCAGCGCTTGGCAGAGGAAAGGCTGCTGCCCGTCTTACTTTTCCAGTCACCAGGCTGGGTGTGGACTGGGGCAGGAGTGACCTGCCTGGTCCTCGCCCCCCGCAGTGACGCGGGGTGAGGGGCAGGGCAGGGCCAGTGCCGGGCGGGCAGGGCAGGGCCAGTGCCGGGGGAGGACCAGGCAGGCACCCCGTGTGGGCGGAAGCCGGTACTCACGGGGTCCCGGGGCGACCGAGGGGGCACCCCGAACAGCGCCCGGGGCCGTGTGGGCGGAAGCCGGTACTCATGGGGTCCCGGGGCGACCATGGGGGCACCCCGAACAGCGCCTGGGGCCGTGTGGGCGGAAGCCGGTACTCACGGGGTCCCGGGGCGACTGAGGGGGCACCCCCCCACGGGCCCGGGGCCGTGTGGCGGAAGCGGGTACTCACGGGGTCCCGGGGCGACCGAGGGGGCACGCCGAACAGCGCCCGGGGCCGTGTGGGCGGAAGCCGGAACTCACGGGGTCCCGGGGCGACTGAGGGGGCACCCCGAACAGCGCCCGGGGCCGTGTGGCGGAAGCCGGTACTCACAGGGTCCCGCAGCTCCTCGCTGTCCCGGGGCGAGGTCCGAGGCACTCTGAGGGGCACGTCGTCGCCGCATTCGGTGTCCGAGGCGTTGGGAGACTCCGCCAGGTCGAGGAAATCGTCTCGCTTGTGACCTCTGAACCTGATCTTGTCCAGCCTCCTCAGCATGTTCAGCACCGAGCCCCGCTGCTTCACCCGGACATGGCGCTCGGGGTCCCTGCGGGCAGGGGGGGGCCGTGGTCACTCACGGGGGCCGCCTGCCTCCCCCGAGGACGCACCCTCCGCACACACGGCCCCGGGCCCTCCCGGCATGGCTCCACCACGCACCACCCGCTGGGCGGGGCGGCGCCCTGCCAGGCTGCGTACAAAGTGGGTCCACTGAGCCCCGCAGGGCAGGAGGGGGCAAGGGTCTCAGGGGACTTTCCAACCCGAAGGACGGGCCAGCCCTGTGCACAGCGCAGCTGGGGGGGGGGGGGGGCTGCTGAGGGTTGGGAGGACAGGGACAGCCAGACACTCCCCAAAAGTTCTCTGAGCGTCAAGAATGAGGCCAGCCCTAGCTGGTGTGGCTCAGTGGATAGAGCATTGGCCCGCAGACTGAAGAGTCATGAGTTCTATTCCGGCCAAGGGCACAGGCCCAGGTTGTTGTCTCAATCCCATGCAGGAGGCAGCCGATCTATGATTCTCATCACTGATGTTTCTCCCTCTCCCTTCCTCTCTGAAATCAGTGTGTTTTAGAAAAATGAATGAGCCAGAGCTATGATTCCATGCCTGGGGCAGCCACAAACCCCAGAAACCGCCCAGACACAGGCATGGGAAGGCTCAGAGGCTGCGAGATGCCGAGCCTCCTGCTCTGAGGTCTCCACGACCTGGCGGGCCGGCAGCCGCCTGGCTCCCCGGGGCCCGAGACTGCGGAGTCATGGCTGCTGGCCACATGGACACACACATTTAAACACATGTGCACACCCAGGGACAGACACACCATGGAGTCCCAGTCCCCTCCTCCGCCCGAACTGCGCCCGGAAAACGCAGGTGACCCCGATTCCAGGGCCAGGGTGTGCGTGGCCCTGCCCTGCACGGCCAGCCTGACCCCCGTGCCGGCACACACTCCCCGCGTGGCTACGGGCCTGACCTCCCACCCCCACCGAGGCTGAGCCTGCCCCGCCCGCCCCTGGGGCGGGAAGAACAGACACGGCGCCCGGGAGCTCCGTGACGCACACGAGCCGCCCGGGCTGGCACCCACACACGGGGCACGGCAGGAAGCGGGGGCGCAGGACGGGACGGTGAGCGGCCTCCCGCCCCGCTGGGGTTCACGGAGAACAGGAAGGGGGCAGATGCGCTTCCTGTTTCCGACGGCTCCCGAGCACCGTCCTCACCCAGGGTGTCCTCTGCAGCCCCGTGCCTGCCCCGCCCTCCAGGGGCCTGCCCCTCCCACCCACCCCTCTCCGGCAGGGCTGTGGGGCGGCCCCACGCACAGGCACCGGCTCGCTCTGCTGAGGGCGGGCGGGCGGCGGGGCTCCGGGGACAGGCAAGGGCCGGACATGGCCCGGCTCGAACTCCATGGGCCTCAGGGAGAGCAGGGGCGTGCGGGAGGGGTGGGGGCGGCCCTGCCCTGAGCGGGAGAGGTGGGGAGGGCAGGGGCAGCCCTGCCCTGGGCGGGAGAGGTGGGGGGGGCAGGGGCAGCCCTGCCCTGGGGAGGGGGGGCAGGGGCAGCCCTCTGGAACCACGTGTGTGAAGAGCAGTGAACTCCCGATGGGCTGAAAGGTTACATAAATTTGAAAAAAACAACAACACAAAAACCCAAAGAAGAGAGAACTCGGTGCCCTCGAGGCCGCAGAGAGGGTATCGGTCGGCTTAAGGGACGGAAGCCCTCGGCACCAAGTGGAGAGCGTCTAACGGTCCCCGGACGAGGCACACGTCCGCGTGTTTGAAAAATGTGGCGGAACCTGTTCCACATGCAGCGCCAGGCCAGCGGCCATTCGCGCCTGGTGGTGCACAGACGGAGCCGCCGAGAGTGACGGCCCGGGTGCCCAGCGGGCGCGGAGCCGGAGCGCCTGGGGGGGCCGCCGGGAGCACGTCCACGGGGGCGGGAGGCCTGGCACCCACGGCGCTGCCAGCGGCCCGGAGCCCGGGGCCACGCGGGACCCGTCCCAGGGCGTGGCACGGCGACTGTGAACCTCGCTGTCCCCCGACCACTGCGCCAGCCACGCCTCTACAGGACCTCAGGCGGCCCGGCCGGGGGGACCGGGAGGTGCAGCTCACGGGCGTTTGCGACGTCCCTCTCCCCGGCGTCCGGCTGGGCCTCCGATTGGTATATAAGTGAAAAGCAGCCGGATGCGCTGGCCGGACAGGGTGGACGCAGCTGTGAGACCCACTTCCCTTCACTCCTCCTGCACGGGAGCCTCCCCGTCACCCAGCGTCAGACAGGCCGGCCTGAGGCTCGGACCCGGAGCGCACGCCCCGAGGAGCGGTCAGCGCCCGGCTGGCCCCACGGCTCCCTCCGCAGGCTCGGCGAGGGGTTCCCACGGCGGTTCTCACGCCCCTTCCTGCCCCGTTCCCCTCCTGCAAGCAAATGAGGCCGCAGAGCGGGACAAAGCCGAGTGTGTGCCCGCCATCAGCATGCAGCGCCCAGCCTGGGCCAGCCGGGGCCGCGTGCGCTGGCTACCCACCAGGGCGGGGCGCGTCCGTCCAGCCACCCAGCCTCCGCTCCTCCTGCTGGCTCCTCGCCTCCGCCCACGCCGGGGGTCCAGACACGGCCTGCCCCGGCCAGGGGCTCCTGGGGGCCAGGCCATGCCCTCCCCCTGCCCTCCCCCGCCTCCTGGGCACCTCACACTCATGAACAGCGCGTGCTGCTGCCAGAGCGGGACCAGTCCCTACAGCTCCCAGCACCCAGCACCCAGCACACACACCCCCCCCCCCACCCGGGACGGCCCCGGCTGCCCGAAGCACTCAGGCCCGCCCCCAGGAGGACCCACCAGAATCACGCCTGCAAAGCCCGTTTCCACACAAGGTCAGTGTCACAGGTTCCACATGAATGTGGGGGACCCCATCCAACACAGGACACCCCCCAATTTTCAGATGGAGACGGAGAGGGGGAATGGAGGGCCGGGTCGCAGACACCGACCAGGACCCAGAGAAGCCCCCACAGGGTCACAGCTCACCGCACCTGCCCCATCCCCCATCGAGCCCCCTTATCCCGTCAGCCCACTCTGCACACCTCACCCCCGCCCCCCCCCCCCGGCCACAGGAGGAATTCCCCTCCTCAGACACCCCTCCCCCGACCGGCCCTCCTGCACCCCACAGCCCCTCCTCAGACACCCCCCTCCCCCGACCGGCCCTCCTGCACCCCACAGCCCCTCCTCAGACACCCCCCTCCCCCGTCCGGCCCTCTTACACCCCACAGCCCCTCCTCAGACACCCCCTCCCCCGTCCGGCCCTCCTGCACCCCACAGCCCCTCCTCAGACACCCCCTCCCCCGACCAGCCCTCCTGCACCCCACAGCCCCTCCTCAGACACCCCCTCCCCCGACCAGCCCTCCTGCACCCCACAGCCCCTCCTCAGACACCCCTCCCCCGTCCGGCCCTCTTACACCCCACAGCCCCTCCTCAGACCCCCCCTGCCCCGTCCGGCCCTCCTGCACCCCACAGCCCCTCCTCAGACACCCCCTCCCCCGTCCGGCCCTCCTGCACCCACAGCCCCTCCTCAGACACCCCCTCCCCCGACCGGCCCTCCTGCACCCCACAGCCCCTCCTCAGACACCCCCTCCCCCGTCCGGCCCTCCTGCACCCCACAGCCCCTCCTCAGACACCCCCTCCCCCGTCCGGCCCTCCTGCACCCCACAGCCCCTCCTCAGACCCCCCCTCCCCGTCTGGCCCTCCTGCACCCCACAGCCCCTCCTCAGACCCCCCCTCCCCCGTCCGGCCCTCTTACACCCCACAGCCCTCCTCAGACCCCCCCTCCCCCGTCCGGCCCTCCTGCACCCCACAGCCCCTCCTCAGACCCCCCCTCCCCCGACCGGCCCTCTTACACCCCACAGCCCCTCCTCAGACACCCCCTCCCCAGACTGCGGTCTTCCACCCACCCAGCTCCTCCCCACACCGCGGCGTGGGACAGCTGCCCAGGGCCGCAGCCCCCACCCCTACCTCCAGGGGAAGCAGACGCGCTGGTCAATGCTCCTGGGCGGAGGTCAAGCCAGACCCGGGCCCTGCTCAGAGCCAGGCCATCGGCAGGGACCCGAGACCATGGCCAGAGTGGGCGAGACAGGCCGTGCCCACGGAGGCGCCCGCGTCAGCGGCTCCCGCTCCCGCTCCCGGCCGCAGGGCCTGCGCAGCGGGACCCAGTCCAGCAGGAGGGCGACAGCACTGCCGGGAGCCCCGCTGTCAGCGGACACAGGCAGCGTCTGGGCGGCTGGACACCACGGCGACGCCCCCGCCCCCGAGGCTCCGGGGGAGCGCCTGGTCCAGTCCGGCCTCTGAAGCGCTCGCTCCGGCCGCCCGGCTCCCGGCCTGGCTCCCTCCGGCCGGTCTCCCGCGGACCAGGATCCAGTGTCCGTCCTCCCACCGGAAGCTCCTCGTCACGGAGCCTCCCCCGGCCCCCCCAAAGCCGGTCCCAGCTGGCCGCGTGGCCGGCTGCCAGCCTGTCCTCGGGGTCCGGGCAGCGGCTTTGTGGGGAACAGGGGCCGTCCTGCTCAGCACCCCCGCCGCCCCAGCAGCGTCCCCTGAGCCAGCACACAGAACTCCACCGGCCTGCGCTCAGGGGCAGAGGTCAAAGGGCAGAATGCACGTCCCTGACAGACCAGAGGGGCCCTCTGGCCCAGGGAGGCGGGACCCAGAGAACCAGGCTCACGGACCCGGCCGTTCCTGTGCGCTGGGGCGGGCCCCCTCCTGACCCCGAGGCCAGCAGCGAGGAAGTCGGACCTGACCGCCGTCCGTACATCCCGCCCGTCCCCCTCGGGCCCTGTGGGTGCCGGTGAGGCCCCCGGAGCTCCCTGGCTGCCGGACCTGCCTGGCCGAGGGCCGGGGGCGGGTCCCGTCAAGGGCAGGGCTGGAACGTCCGGACCCGGTGGCCAGGGCCTGCCATAACTTCTCGGCTCTGCCGGAGCCGCGGAACCTGCGTGGCTGTGCCAACAAGACGCCACTCACAGAGCGAGCGGCCGAGGCCACCTCGGTCCCGTCCCCGTCGTAAAGCTACGTGCACCTCGGGAACACGGTTCCCGGAGGG